AGACTACAAGAGAGAGTCCAGGGCAAGCCTAGAATTTCTCAGTCTGGCAGCAGGGGCGCTGAAAGAATGGGGAAAATTTGCCTCAGGGAAATAACTTAGATGACGAAGCCAGAAAGCAGCAGCATTGGGGTGGGGTAAACAAAAAATACAGGAGAGAAGAAAACAGTTGCAGCTTTCAGGTGGCAGGCAGTTTTCTAGTAGTTTCCAAGAAAATCTGCTTAGAACCATAAAAACATAATAGCTTAGAATGGAAAAGAAAGAAAAGCAGTCATCGATTCAAATACGTCAAGGTAGGCTTCCAGCAAGTGGTTCTGGTTCCTACCTAGCACAACCACTGAGTCAGGAGAAGGAAGTGTGGATCTCTGGATCTTCTGCTCAGGGACCCAGACAAAAGGTCTCTGCCTCAGGGCTCTCTTAATCATGAAAGTCAAATCATTTCAACTTAATCTGTCTCTTGACCTTGTTCTACATCAGATAAGTCCCCAAGGCATAGTTGCCTCTGCAGATTGGGCTGGGGGCCAATTTGTTGCACTTGAGGGGAAAACAGAAACACCTGTAAAACTGCCCATGAACTAAAGTCTTGAAAGGAAACGGCCTATTTGAGTTTAGGAATTCTTACCCTGGGCAACATAGGGAGACCCCATCCCTATATAAAATTTAACAATTTTATGTAGCTGGGTGTAGTGGAACGTGCCTGTGGTCCCAGCTACGTGGGAGGCTGAAGTGGGAGGATTATTTGAACCCAGGAGGCTGCAGTGAGCTGTGATCACGCCAGAGCACTCCAGTCTCTGTGACAGAACAAGACCCTACCTCAAAAAAGTGGGAGTGAAGGGACAAAGAAATCTGTAACTGTTATGAGTATCAGGTTTAGACTATGCCCAAGGTCATGTTGAGGTCTGGAAGCAGTGGGTGGATGAGCAGAAAGAACACTTGGGGGGCTGTAGGCAGGTGAAAGATGATTTTATTCAGCAGCAGCTCTCATCAACAGCTTTCTCACACTGTCTGCCCTGCCTCGACTGTCTAAATCCGGCTCCCACACAGCTATGTGGCCCCTGCCTTCAGGGTCAGCCACTTAACTCTTTCTCTCTGGGCACGAGCAAGCTGAGCTGTGTCCTGGCTCCCCTCGTCCATCTGCAAGAAACATGCTCCATTTTGCCTTCCTGGTCCCCAGTTTACACTTAAGAGTAACTGAGGGCTCACTTCGGCAGCACATATACTAAAATTGGAACGATACAGAGAAGATTAGCATGGCCTCTGCGCAAGGATGACACGCAAATTCATGAAGCGTTCCATATTTTTAAAAAATAATTTAAAAAAAAGAGTGACAACATTAATTGAATTCTTTTTTTTTTTTTTTGAGACATAGTTTCGCTCTGTTGCTCAGGTTGGAGTGCAGTCGTGTGATCTCAGCTCACTGCAACCTCTGCCTCCTGGGTTCAAGCGATTCTCCTGCCTCAACCTCCTCAGTAGCTGGAATTAGCTGTAATTACAGGCAAATGCCACCATGCCCAGCTAATTTGTGTATTTTTAGTAGAAACGGGGTTTCCCCATGTTGGTCAGCCTGGTCTTGAACTTCTGACCTCGTGATCCACCTGCCTTGGCCTCCCAAAGTGTTGGGATTACGGGCATGAGCCACTGTGCCCGGCCTAATTGAATTCTTATTGTGTACCAAACACCATTATTTAACACTTCAGGAGCATTAATCCTCATAGTAAAGGTTCACGCCTGCAATCCCAGCACTTTGGGAGGCCAAGGCAGCCAGATCACTTGAGGGCAAGAGTTTGAGACCAGCCTGGGCAGCATAGGGAGACCATGTCTCTACCAAAAAAACAATCCTCATAATAAACTAATGAGCCAGGAACTATTATTTATTATTATCTTCGCTTTGCAAATTAGGAATCTGAGACTTAGAGAGTTTAATTTGCCTAAAAACACAGCTAGTTAGTGGCAAAGCCAGGCTTTGAACACAAATCTGTGAGACCCAGGAGCCAAGACTCAACCACCACACCATATGGCCTCCTTAAACAATTGTACACCTTAAACAATTCCCTTCCATTCAAAAATTGAGACCGGAATGATACAAGGTAGTCACAGGAGGACAGAAAACTCCAGGGAGCAGTTTCACTTGACTAGCAAAAGGAAAATGTAAATAGCGGTCTAAGAGGGATTGAAAACCAGGATGTGGGCCACACTAGCTAAGACCAACTGGATCCAACATGGCTCTGGATTTGACCCAGGTCCTCCTAGGACCTCATTATACACTTACTAACATATTAAATCATACACCCCCAGCACCATGACAGTTCCTGGAACAACAGAATTTGGTGTAAAAATGGCTGGAACCACCTGACCAACATGGCGAAACCCCATCTCTACCAAAAATACAAAAATTAGCCCGATGTGGTGGTGGGTGCCTGTAATCTCAACTATTCAGAGCCTCAGGCAGGAGAATCGCTTGAACCCAGGAGGCGGAGGATGTGGTGAGCCAGGATCGTGCCATTGCACTTCAGCCTAGGTGATTCAGTCTCAAAAAAAAAAAAAAAACGCTGGCACCACAGTTCCAAGTAATCTTCTCCTTTTTTATTTTTTTTATTGAGATGGAGTTTCGCTAGTTACCCAGGCTGGAGTGCAATGGCGCGATCTCGGCTCACCGCAACCTCCACCTCCTGGGTTCAGGCAATTCTCCTGCCTCAGCCTCCCGAGTAGCTGGGATTACAGGCACGCGCCACCATGCCCAGCAAAGTTTTTGTATTTTTAGTAGAGACAGGGTTTCACCGTGTTGACCAAGATGGTCTTGATCTCTTGACCTCGTGATCCACCCGCCTTGGCCTCCCAAAGTGCTGGGATTACAGGCTTGAGCCACCGCGCCCGGCCTTTATTTATTTTTTCTAGAGACGGGATTTCTCCATGTTGGTCAGGCTGGTCTCGAACTCCCAACCTCAGGTTATCTGCCCACCTCGGCCTCCCAAAGTACTGGGATTACAGGCGTAAGCCACCGCACCCAGCAAAATCTTCCTTTTTTTTCCAGGAATCTTCATAAATACTCCATCCCTCGGTTAAAGAAATGCATAAAAACAGAAACCCCAGGCTGGGCATGATGGCTCACACCTATAATCCGAGCACTTTGGGAGGCTGAGGTGGGTGGTTCACCTGAGGTCAGGAGTTCAAGACTAGCCTGGCCAACAAGGTGAAACCCCATCTCTACTAAAATTACAAAAATTAGCTGGGCATGATGTCTGCAGCTTGTAATCACAGCTACTTGGGAGGCTGAAGCAGGAGAATCGCTTGAACCCGGAAGGCAGAGGTTGCAGTGAGCGGAGATTGCATCGCTGGACCCCAGGCTGGATGACAAGAGTGAGCAAAACTCCATCGAAAGAAAAGAGAGAGGCGGCTGTTGGCTGCCGTCACCCTTCGGAACCACCGGCCTCACTCGGCCCTGCGGGCCGCTGCTCAGGTTCTGGGAAGTTCTGGATTGTTTAATAACCATGGACTTCAAGTACAGCAGCAACAGCAAAGGAATCTCTCACTGCATGAATACATGAGTATGGAATTATTGCAAGAAACTGGTGTCTCCGTTCCCAAAGGATATGTGGCAAAGTCACCAGATGAAGCTTACACAACTGCCAAAAAATTAGGTTCAAAAGATGTTGTGATAAAGGCACAGGTTTTAGCTGGTGGTAGAGGAAAAGGACCATTTGAAAGTGGCCTCAAAGGAGGAGTGAAGATAGTTTTCTCTCCAGAAGAAGCAAAAGCTGTTTCTTCACAAATGATTGGGAAAAAGTTGTTTACCAGGCAAACGGGAGGAAAGGGCAGAATATGCAATCAAGTATTGGTCTGTGAGCGAAAATATCCCAGGAGGGAGTACTACTTTGCAATAACAATGGAAAGGTCATTTCAAGGTCCTTTATTAATAGGAAGTTCACATGGTGGCGTCAACATTGAAGATGTTGCTGCTGAGACTCCTGAAGCAATAATTAAAGAACCTATTGATATTGTAGAAGGCATCAAAAAGGAACAAGCTCTCCCGCTTGCACAGAAGATGGGATTTCCACCTAATATTGTGGATTCAGCAGCAGAAAACATGGTCAAGCTTTACAGCCTTTTTCTGAAATACGATGCAACCATGATAGAAATAAATCCAATGGTGGAAGATTCAGATGGAGCTGTATTGTGTATGGATGCAAAGATCAATTTTGACTCTAATTCAGCCTATCGCCAAAAGAAAATCTTTGATCTACAAGACTAGACCCAGGAAGATGAAAGAGACAAAGATGCTGCTAAGGCACATCTCAACTACATTGGCCTTGATGGAAAAATATAGGCTGCCTAGTAAATTGTGCTATTTTGGCTATGGCCACAATGGATATAATAAAACTTCATGGAGGGACTCCAGCCAACTTCCTTGATGTTGGTGGTGGTGCTACAGTCCATCAAGTAACAGAAGCGTTTAAGCTTATCACTTCAGATATAAAGGTACTGGCTATTCTGGTCAACATTTTTGGAGGAATTATGCGCTGTGATGTTATTGCACAGGTTATAGTCATGGCAATAAAAGATTTGGAAATAGAATCCCTGTTGTGGTACGGTTACAAGGTACACGGGTCGATGATGCTAAGGCACTGAGAGCAGACAGTGGACTTAAAATACTTGCTTGTGATGACTTGGATGAAGCTGCTAGAATGGTAGTAAAACTCTCTGAAATAGTGACCTTAGCAAAGCAAGCACATGTGGATGTGAAATTTCAGTTGCCAATATGATATGAAAACCCGGGGGATGGCTGAAGATGTTACATGTGCTGTAATCATTAAGAATACTGTGTTCTGTGTTATTGTTCTTGTTAGTGTGTGGAGATTGTAATTGCCATCTAGGCACACAAACACTTAAAAGCACTTGGTCTGCATTTAATTCTACCATTCAGGATGAACTGTTTGTACGAAGCATGAATAATGCCGGTATCTTCTTTCTTTTGTCACAACCAGTCTTTTTTCTTCTACAAAATGTAACTTACAATATGCCAGTTTATTATTGTTGGATACAAAGTTCTTCATTGATAAGAGTCCTATAAATAAAATATAAATAAAATAAATATGAAGATAAAGCTTTATTCTTTAGTGTTAAAATACAGTATATTCAATAACTAGCCTCATTAGTAGAGCAGTATGTTAAAACAATGTTTTATATAAAGTGTTTATTTTCAGCACCAAATGCATAATAAATGTATCAATCACTATTTATAAACAGAGCTTTCAAACTCCTCAGAATATTATTCTAAGTATTTTGATGAAGTAACTGTAATTATGTAAACATTGTTTTAATAATTAGAAACACTGATAACCGCAAGTCTTTTTGATTCTGTGGTAGTAAGAAACACCTGTAGGTTTGTTTCAAATAAAGACATATTTATCAAGGACTCGTAGACAAAATTAAGAATGTCAATTTAAGTTAATAAAAATCTCCCAGTGTGATTTGGGAAAAAAAAAAAAGAAAGAAAGAAAAGAGAGAAAAAGACCCCAAACCCTGTTGCATGTCTGGCCTTTTTTTTTTTTTTTTTAGCTGCACCACATGTGTATCCTAGCTTTATTAAAAGGTCCGCAGTCAATATGAAAAGTCCCATCAGTTTAATAACAATTTAAAAAAACCCCAAAAGTGGCCGGGCGAAGTGGCTCACGCCTGTAATCCCAACACTTTGGGAGGCTGAGGCAGGCGGATCATGAGGTCAAGAGATTCAGACCATCCTGACCAACATGGTGAAACTCCATCTCTACTAAAAAAGAAAAATTAGCTGGGTGTGGTGGCGCATGCCTGTAATCCCAGCTACTAGGGAGGCTGAGGCAGGAGAATTGCTTGAACCCGAGAGGCGGAGGTTGTAGTGAGCCGAGATTGCACCACTGAAGTCCAGCCTGGCGACTGGCGACAGAGCAAGACTCTGTCTCAAACAAACAAAACCTAAAAGTGGAAAACAGAGAGGGCAGGGGAAGAGACACCTGGGCCAGGGGAAACAGGAGCGCTGCTCATGGCACCAGGCCTGGCCACGGGGTCCCCCGGTATTACTGTTGCTACGGAGGGGGGGGGTGGGGGAGCGGGGCAGCAATTGTCCTGTGAGAGCCACCGTTCGCCTGGGTCGGGGACCCTCACTTCTTCTGGGGTGCGCTTAGCTTCTGCATTCCCCGGATCTTGTCCAGCAGGCCAGAGATGAAGGCTTCTGTGTGTTTGTAACAGTCACCCCGCAGCTCCTCGACCCTGGCAGCCCAGGCATCGTCACTCTCCAGGCAGAGTAACTCATCCACGTCAATCTCAAGTTCTAGGATCTTTTCTTCCTGGCAGTCATAGAGGCGCGTGAGCTGGTACAGGATGCCCTCCTTTCTTAGGCTCTTCCGTAGCTCCTTGCAGTCAATCTTGACAGTGACCTTCCCTTGGTGCCTCACTGGGCCTTCATCATCTGCGCCTCTGCGGCGAGAGCGGCACGGGCGCCCGCGAGCGGCTGCAGCAGGTGAGGGTTGGGAGACCGAGGCTAGCCGGGGGGCATCCCCAGGCCTGGCCCGGCAGCGCCCCTCCCCCTTCCCACCAACCTGCCCGCCCTTTGTCCCCCTCCTGTCTTTCTTGAGTAGGCTTGCACTCCGCTTTGTTTTGTTTTGTTCTGGTTTGTTTTTGTTTTTTGCTTTGTAATAAATCCTACTTTCATTATATTCTGATTTGTCCTGGAATTCCTTCTGCAACGCTGTCAAGAGCCTTGACACCTGCGGGGTTGAGGCCCCTCTGGTGTTTGGTGACCTCTTCTAACCCACTGGTATCAAAATCTTGCTCAAAGACTATCTTTTTCATAAATCCTGTTAACGCAGATTCACTAAACATTCCACATTAGGACAAGAGCCAACTCATTTCTTTTTTTTTTTTTTGAGACAGGGTCTTGCTCTGTCACCCAGGCTGGAGTACAGTGGTGCGATCATGGCTCACTGCAGTCTCAACCTCCCCAGGCTCAGGTGATCTTCCCACTTCAGCCTCCCAAGTGGCTGGGACTACAGGTGCACGCCACCATGCCTAACTTTGGTATTGTTTTAGAGATGAGGTTTCACCATGTTGCCCAGGCTGGGCTCAAGCAGTCTGTCCCCCTTGGCTTCCCAAAGTGCTAAAATTACAGGCATGAACCACTGTGCCAGACTAACTCATTTCTATATAGATGTTAATACATATCTGTATCATGTTTGCTTTTTATTTAAATAGGAGGCTTTTCTTCCATGCCTACCTTCCACCCACTCTCCAAGTATTTTTTTCATGTTTCTGTTCTCTCCAAAACTACGTAAAATTAATTCCTTCTGCCCTTCCTCTTCTTTACCCAGAAAACTCCTATATTCTTGAAGGTCCCCTTAAAATACCCTCCTTTGTGATGCATTCCCAGTTTCCTCTAGGCAGCATTCCAGTCCAACAGTCTATCGGCTACACTTCAAACACTTCTTACTCCACTCAAGCACTCTAACAGATTCTGAATATACAGTCATTGAGAAATGTGTTGTTAGGTAATTCATCCTTGTGAAAACCTCAAGGAGTGTGCTTAAATGAGCCTGGATAGCCTAGGATCTTTGGCTATTACTCCTAGGCTATGAACCTATACAACATGTTACCCTACTGAAGACTGTAGACAACACAATGAGAAGTATTTATGTGGCTAAGTATATCTAAACAGAAAAGGTACAATAGGCCAGGCACAGTGGCTCACACCTGTAATCACAGCATTTTGCGAGGCCACAGCAGGAGGATCACTTGAGCCCAGGAGTTCAAGACTGGCTTGGGTAACAAGAAAAGACACTTTACAAAAAAATTTAAAAATTTGGCCAGGTGCGGTGGCTCATGCCTGTAATCCCTGCACTTTGGGAGGTGGAGGCAGGCGGATCACCTGAGCTCAGGAGTTTGAGACTAGCTTAGCCAACATGATGAAACCCTGTCTCTACTAAAAATACAAAAATTAGCTGGGCACTGTGGTAGGTGCCTGTAATCCTGGCTACTCAGGGAGGCTGAGGCAGAAAAATTAGTTAAACCCAGGTGGTTGCAGTGAACCGAGATCACACCACTACATTCCAGCCTGGGCAACAGAGTGAGACTCTGTCTAAAATTAAGTTAAAAATAAGTCAGGCGCGGTGGCTCACGCCTGTAATCCCAGCACTCTGGGAGTCCAAGGCAGGCAGATCATGAGGTCAGGAGTTCAAGACCAGCCTGGCCAACATGGTGAAACCCCATCTCGACTAATAATACAAAAGTTCGCTGGGCGTGGTGATGGGTGCCTGCAATCCCAGCTACTCAGGAGACTGAGGCAGGAGAATTACTTGAACCTGAGAGGCAGAGGTTGCAGTTAGCCAAGATTGCACCACTGCACTTCAGCCTGGGTGACAGAGCAAGACTCCATCTCCAAATAAAAATAAAAATATCTAAAATAATAATAACAAAAATTAGCCAGGCGTGATGGCACCCTGCCTGTGGTCCCAGCACTTTGGGAGGCCAAGGTGGGAGTATCACTTTAGGCCAGGAGTTTAAGACTGCAGTGAACTGTGATAATGCTAATGCACTCTAACCGGGGAAACAGAGCAAGATCCTGTCTGTAAAAATAAATAAATAACAACAACAACTGTAGGTTGCAGCCAGGCACAGTGGCTCACCCCTGTAACCTCAGCACTTTGGGAGGCTGAGGCAGGCAGATCACTTGAGGTCAGGAGTTCGGGGCCAGCCTGGCCAACATAGTAAAACACTGTTTCTACTAAAAATACAAAAATTAGCCAGGCGTGGTGGTGGCTGCCTGTAGTTCCAGCTACTCAGGAGGCTGAGACAGGAGAATCGCTTAAACCCAGGAAGCTGAGATTGCAGTGAGCTGAGATGGCACCACTTCATTCCAGCCTAGGAGACAAAGCAAGACTCTGTCTCAAAAAAAGAAAACTGTGTGTTGCAACCAGAATGAACATATATATATGTGTGTGTGTGTGTGTGTGTGTGTGTGCATATATTTGTGTGTGCATATGTGTGTGTGCATATATGTGTGTGTGCGCATATATATGTGTGTGTGTGCATATGTGTGTGTGTGCATATGTGTGTGTGCATATATATGTGTGTGTGTGTGTGTGTGCATATATATATATATATTCATTCTTGATTTGGATACAGCAAAATACTTTTTGTATTTTTTGTAGAGACAGGGTCTCCCTATCTTGCCCAGTCTAGTCTCAAACTTCAGGGCTCAAGGAATCCACCTGCCTTGGCCTTCCAACGTGTTGGAATAAAACAGAATTTTTATTTTTCAAGACGGAGTCTTGCTCTGTCACCCAGGCTGGAGTGCAGTGGTGCAATCTCGGCTCACTACAACCCTCACCTCCCAGATCCAAGCAATTCTCCTTCCTCAGCCTTCCGAGTAACTGGAATTATACGCGCCCCCCCACACCCAACCCACCATATCCAGCTGATTTTTGTATTTTTTGTAGAGACAGGGTTTCACCATGTGGGCCAGGCTGGTCTCAAACTGCTGACCTCAGATGATCCACCTGCCTCGGCCTCCCAAAGTGCTGGGATTATAGGCATGTGAGCCCCGCGCCCAGCCAGAATTTTAAAAAAATAGAATAGAAAATATCAGAGAATGTCACAGGCACTAAGATAGAAGTGCAACTTTAAGAGTGTGCATGTGTGTGTGTGTGTACGTGTGTACTGAGTTGCTGTAAAATATATTTCTTGGCTGGACACGATGGCTCTCACCTATACTCTCAGCACTTGGGGAGGCCAAAACAGAAGGATCACTTGAGCCCAGAAGTTTAAAACTAGCCAAGCAACATAGTGAGACCCCATCTCTACAAAAAATAAAAAATTAGGCCAGGACTCATGAGCACCTTGGAAGGCTGAGGTGGGCTGATCTCTTGAGCTCAGGAGTTTGAGACCAACTGGGCAACATGGCAAGACCTCATCTCTAAAAAATAATACAATTAGCTGGGCACAGTGGTACATACCTATAGCCCCAGCTACTGGGAGGCTGAGGCAGGATAATCACTTGAGCCTGGGAAGCAGAGGCTGCAATTAGCTGAGATCGCACCAGTGCACTCCAGCCTGGGCAATGGGAGTGAAATCCTGTCTCAAAAAATAGATAGCTTTTGGCGTTGGGCTTGGAGGAGACCAAGGTGCAAGTTTCGTCAGTGGTCCCAAATCCGTGTTCATCCGATACCAGCCTCCTCCACCGCGCCACCGAAGGTCGATCCCAACGAGATCAAAGTCGTATACCTGAGGTGCACCAGGGGTGAAGTAGGTGCCACTTCTGCACTGGCCCCCTAGATCTGTCTCCAAAAAAGTTTGGTGATGGCCGGGCGCGGTGACTCAAGCCTGTAATCCCAGCACTTTGGGAGGCTGAGGCGGGTGGATCACGAGGTCAAGAGATCGAGACCATCCTGGTCAACATGGTGAAACCCTGTCTCTACTAAAAATACAAAAAATTAGCTGGGCACAGTGGCGCATGCCTGTAATCCTAGCTACTCGGGAGGCTGAGGCAGGAGAATTGCCTGAACCCAGGAGGCGGAGGTTGCGGTGAGCCGAGATCACGCCATTGCACTCCAGCCTGGGTAACGAGCAAAACTCCGTCTCAAAAAAAAAAAAAAAGTTTGGTGACGACATTGCCAAAGCAACGGGTGACTGGAAGGGCCTGAGGATTACAATGAAACTTATCTGTCATTCAGAACAGACAGGCCCAGATTGAGTGGTGCCTTCTGCCTCTGCCCTGATCCTCAAAGCCCTCAAGGAACCACCAAGAAACGGAAAGAAACAGAAAAACATTAAACATAGTGGGAATATCACTTTTGATGATAGCGTCAACATTGCTCAACAGATGCAGCACTGATCTTTACCCACAGAACTCTCTGGAACCATTAAAGAGATCCTGGGGACTGTCCAGTCTGTGGACTGTAATGCTGATGGCCACCACCCTCATGACATCATAGATGACCTCAACGGTGGTGCTGTGGAATGCCCAGTTAGTTAAGAAGCACAAAGGAAGATATTTCAATAAAGGATCATTTAACAACTGGTAAAAAATAAAATAAATAAATAAATTAGGCATGGTGGTTCAAGACTGTAATCCCAGCTACTCAGGAGGCTGAGGCAGAAGAATTCCTTGAATCCAGGAGGCAGAGGTTGCAGTGAGCTGAGACCACGCCACTGCACTCCAGCCTGGGTGACAGAGCAAGACTTCATCTTAAAAATTAAAAATCAGAAGAGCAGCCGCCAGCGGAGGGCAGGCCCCGGCGCAGGGCAGAGCGGAAGGGACGGGAGGGGGGGCGCACGGGCCCCCTGGGAGGCCGCGGCCACTCCCCCCACCCCCGCCCGGGCCGGCGCGGCGGGGTAGGAGGAGGATGGAAACACCCTTCGACGGCCCTTCGTCGGCGATGAGGCGCTGAGCGGCCTGGGCAGCGGCGACAGTGACAGCAGGGACAACTTTGCGTCCCTGGGCCGCCTGTTCCCTGGGGCGCCCCCGACGGCGGCTGCCGGCAGCATGATGAAGAAGGACGCGCTGACGCTGAGCCTGAGCATGCATGCAGGTGGCGGCGGCACTCAAGCCCACGGCCGCGCCGCCTCCGACCCACCTGCGCGCCGACAGCGCCCCAGCGCGGCACCCCCAAATGGCCTGCTCGCCTCGACCGACCTGGGGCTGCTGAAGCTCGACTCCCCCGAGCTCGAGCCCCTCATCGTCCAGTCCAATGGGCTGGTCACCACTACGCCGATGAGCACGCAGTTCCTCTACGCCAAGGTGGTGGCCAGCGAGAAGCAGGAGTTCGCCGAGGGCTTCGTCAAGGCTCTGGAGGATTTGCACAGGGAGAACTAGCTCGGCCCAGGCGCGGCGGCCGCTGCAGCCGCCGGGCCCTCGGGCACCGCCGTGGGCTCCGCGCCCACACCCCCGCCCCGGCGAGGTGGCCCCGGCCGCGGCCGCGCCCGAGGCGCCAGTCTACGCGAACCTGAGCAGCTACGCGGGCGGAGCCGGGGGCGCGGGGGGGCGTCGCGACGGTCCCCTTCGCCACCGAGCCCGTCCCCTTCCCGCCGCCGCCGCCCACTGGCGCGTTGGTGCCGCCGCCGCCGCCGCCCACGGGCGCGTTGGTGCCGCCGCGCCTCGCTCCGCTCAAGGACGAGCCACAGACTGTGCCCGACGTGCCGAGCCTCGGCGAGAGCCCGTAGCTGTCGCCCATCATCATGGACACGTAGGAGCGCATCAAGGCGGAGCGCAAGCGGTTGCGCAACCCCTTCGCCGCCTCCAAGTGCCGCAACCGCAAGCTGAAGCGCATCTCGCGCCTGGAGGAGAAAGTGAAGACTCTCAAGAGCCAGAATACGGAGCTGGCATTCACGGCGACTCTGCTGTGCGAGCAGCGGGCTCAGCTCAAGCAGAAAGTCCTCAGTCACGTCAACAGCGGCTGCCAGCTGCCGCCCCAGCATCAGGTGTCCGCTTACTGAGTCCGCGCGCGGGGCGCATGCCCGGCCGCCTTCCCCGAGGGGCGGGCTCACGGGGGGGTATCGTGGGCGCCCGGGACTTGGAGAGGGTGCGGCCCCCGGGGATCCCCCCGAAGGTGCCCAGGACTCGGAAGGGGTGCCCCGGACTCGACAAACTGGACACCCTGCTCCCAGGGCATGAGCCCCCGCCCTCGCGCTGCCTCTGTCCTCCGCGGGGCCGCGCCGTGTTGCACAAACCCGCGCGTCTCGCGTGCCCCTTTGTATACCGCGCCGCGGAAGGGGCTCCAAGGGGGCGCAGCTTCAAACCCTGCCTTTCCTTTTCTTTAACGTTTTTTTTTTCCTTTGGAAAAGAGAAGAACAGAGTGTTCGATTCTGCCCTATTTATGTTTCTACTCGGGAACAAACGTTGGTTGTGTGTGTGTGTGTTTTCTTGTGTTGGTTTTTTTAAAGAAATGGGAAGAAGAAAAAAAATTCTCCGTCCCTTTCCTCGATCTCGCTCCCTCTTCGTCCTTTCGACAGGCTCCCCCTCTCCCTTTTTGTTCTGTTTGTTTTTTGTTTTGTTTTGCTACGAGTCCACATTCCTGTTTGTAATCCTTGGTTCCCCCGCCCGGTTTTCTGTTTTCAGTAAAGTCTCCTTACGCCAAAAAAAAAAAAAAAAAAAAAAAAAAAAACAGCCAGGAATGGTAGCCTGCTCCTGTACTCACAGCTAATCTGGAGGCTGAGGCAGGAGGACCCCTTGAGCTCAGGGGTCTCACCCTGTCACCCAGGCTGGAGTGAAGTATGCAGTGAGCTATGACTGCATACTTCACTCCAGCCTGGGTGACAGGGTCAGACCCCATCTCTTTAAAAAAAAAAACAAACAAAAACTAGCCAGGCTCTGTGGCGTATAGCTGTAATCCCAGCACTTTGGGAAGCTGAGACAGGAGGATGCCTTGAGCCCAGGAGTTCAAGGTTGTAGTGAGCTATGATCACACCACTGCACTCCAGCCTGGGTGACAGAGCAAGACTGTGTCTCAAAAGAAAAAAAGAATTACCGTAATAATACATGCCGTCTCACATAATTGTGTTAAAATTAAGTGATATGTAAATGCAAGATTATTTTATAAACTATAAAAATGTTCATAAACTATAAAAATTTTTACCTGTATATAATATTAAGTAAACAAGGCCGGGCATGGTGGCTCATGCCTGTAATCCCAGCACTTTGGGAGGCCGAGGCAGGCAGATCACGAGGTCAAGGGATCGAGACCATCCTTGCAAACACAGTGAAACCCCATCTCTACTAAAATATAAAAATTAGCTGGGTGGCACGCATCTCTAGTCCTAGCTACTTGGCAAGAGAATTGCTTGAACCTGGGAGGCAGAGATTGCAGTGAGCCGAGATCATGCCACTGCACTCCAGCCTGGTGACAAAGTGAGACTATGTCTCAAAATTAAAAAAAATTTATTCAAAAATAAATTTTAAAAGCAGGAAATGGAGCAGCAAGAGCTATAGATGGGAGATAGGACTGTTTCAGAAGGGATGGCTAAAGACCTTGCTCAGTGACTTTTGCTTTTTCTTTTTTTTTAAGACAGAGTTTCACTCTTGTTGCCCTGGCTGGAATGCAATGGCCCAATCTTGGCTCACCGCAACCTCCGCCTCCTGGATTCAAGTGATTCCCCTGCCTCAGCATCCTGAGTAGGTGGGATTACAGGCATGTTGGCACATGCCTGGCTAATTTTGTATTTTTAGTAGAGACAGGGTTTCTCCATGTTGGTCAGGCTGGTATCGAACACCTGACCTCAGGTGATCTGCCCACCTCGGCCTCCCAAAGTGCTGGGATTATAGGCATGAGCCACTGCGCCCAGCCCGATTTTGCTTTTTTTTTTGTTTTTTTTTTGAGATGGAGTCTTACTCTGTCGCCCAGCCTGGTGTGCAGTGGCGCCATCTCGGCTCACTGCAACCTCTGCCTACTGGGTTCAAGCAATTCTCCGGCCTCAGCCCCCTGAGTAGCTGGGATTACAGGTATACGCCATCATGCCCAGCTTTTATATTTTTGATAGAGATGGGGTTTTACCATGTTGGTCCAGCTAGTCTCAAACTCCATACCTCAAGTGATCCGCCCACCTTGGCCTCCCAAAGTGCTGAGATTATAGGCATGAGCTACTGCACCCAGTCCATGTACAATTCTTAAGACATATGTATGAAACATGGCAAACTTTTTTTCTACATTGAAACAATGTTTATGACAGTAATATCAAACTGCAAAATCCTTGAGGTCTTTCTAATATTGATTCAGCTAGGTACAACACTTAGGAGTCTTGCTGAATGTGCAAACATATTTAAATTGAGAACACTGAGGCAGGGGCTTCCTTCTATAGGAATTGAACACAGAGGAAGCTCAGTAAAAGGTGCTAGTGGAACAATGAGCCATGTACCACAGTGAATACCAATACTGATGAGAGGGCTCCCAGGTGACCCTGCCAAACCTGGGTGGGGAAAATTTTCCCCAAAGACCTTCCTTAACTCTGTGCTTTTGCTCTAATTGCTGTGGATGTGCCAGGCAGCACAAAGTGGCTCCTGAGGGTGGTTCTTGCTGATGCTGGGTAAAGGTCCACTTATTGAGAGCTAAGTACTAACACAAACTAAAAACTCCTCTGATCTCATGCCTTAGCAAGGCTCATGTTGTGTGGAGGAGAAAAAGCTTAGAGTGGGGCACATGTGTGGAGGACAGAAGAGGGTGAGAGAAGTCAGAAGAGGTCCACCCTCCCTGACTGATGACAGTTTCCCTGAACTTGGAACCCCTACAACCAATAATACTAGGCATTGCTCATCACCCAGTGATGTCTTTATCCTTGAATTGCACTGACTTTAATGTTTGATGTCAATTCTTTACTATCTATAGTAGTTCTAGATTGCTCTACCTTTTTTATTATTATATGGTTTGTCCTTTACTTATGTTTTATTAGTTTGCATAGAGTATAAATTCTTCGACTGTATTTGTCTATAGACAAATAATTGCCCATTGTAAGCAATCCCTGATAAAACTTTTTTGATTTTTTTTTTTTTGAAACAGGTTCTCACTCTGTCACCCAGGACAGAGTACAGTGGTATGATCTTGGCTCACTGCAACCTCCACCTCCCGGGTTCAAGCAATTCTCCTGCCTCAGCCTCCTGAGTAGCTGAAATTACAGGTGCACACCACCATGCCCAGCTGATTTTTGTATTTTTAGTAGAGATGGGGGTTTCACCATGTTGGCTAGGCTGGTCTTAAACTCCTGACTTCAGGTGATCTGCCCACCTTGGCCTCCCAAAGGGCTAAGATTACAGGCGTGGGCCACTGCACCCAGCCTGAAAAAAATCTTTTTGATGATGTTTTTTAATGACTGCAATTACAAAAATCAAACACTACTTCTTGGCTGTGCACGGTGGCTCACACCTGTAATCCCAAACTTTGGAGGCTGAGGAAGACGGATTCCTTGAGTACCGGAGTTTGAGACCAGCCTGGGCAACATGGCAAAACCCCATGTCTACTAAAAATACAAAAATTAGCTGGGCATGGTGGTGCACGCCTATACTCTGTCTCTCAAAAACAAAAAAAAAAAAAGCGACTTCTTGTAAGTTTAGAATACAGCTCCTCTTCTGGAGATACTAATCTCTTCAAGTCATCTCTCACAAATTGGTTTCAGATGGACTCTTGTGAAACCTTTCAGTTTGATGGTCAGGAGACCTGGGTTCTAACCTTAGATTCACAAACACCTTATGTGTAACTCTGCTTCAGTTTCACAATCTGGGAAAAGGAAGGGAAAAAAAGCACATAGCATTCTCTTTACCTCTTCTTTCCCACTTGCTACTGCTGCTTTTTTTTTTTTTTTTGAGACGGAATTCCGCTGTTTTTACTCAGACTGGAGTGCAATGGCATGATCTCGGCTCACTGCAACCTCCGCCTCCTGGGTTCAAGCAATTCTCCTGCCTCAGCCTCCCGAGTATCTGGGACTACAGGCGCGTGCCACCATGCCAAGCTAATTTTTGTATTTTTAGTAGAGACGAGGTTTCACCTTGTTGATCAAGATGGTCTTAATCTCTTGACCTCATGATCCACCCACCTCGGCCTCCCAAAGTGCTGGGATTATAGGCGTGAGCCACCACGCCTGGCCAATTTTTAACTTTTTTTTTCTTTTTTTTTTTTTTAAAAGACGGGGTTTTACCATGTTGGTCAGGCTGGTCTTAAACTCCCGACCTCAGGCGATCCACCCGCCTTGGCCTCCAAAGTGCTTGGATTACAGGCATGAGCCACCATGTCCGGCTTTTTTTTTTTTTTTTTTTAATATCCCACTTGCTTCTTTAAAGGCCTTCAAAGAGCTACTCTTCTAAGCGTGGAGCCTTCTATATTACCGTTCTCTCCTTTTCAGGGAAAAGACTGAGGGAGGAGATGAGAAGCATACAGTCCCAAAGATGGTGAAGAATCACATAGTGAGGACCTGCAGTCTCAGGAGACAGAAAAAGAATAGGCAAAAAAATAAACTCCAGGGCAATTAAAGACCTAGAGTTGTAAAAACAAAACACCAACCAAATTCAAAATTATCCAGTGCTCACTTCGCAGCACATACACTACAACTGGAATGATACGGAGATTAGCATGGCCCCTGGGCAAGGTCGACATGCAAATTCATGAAGCATTTCCATAATTAAAAAAAAAATTTTTTTTGAGACAGAGTCTCACTCTGTTGTCCAGGCTGGAGTGCAGTGGCACGATCTTAGTTCACTGCAACCTCCGCCTGCCAAGTTCAAGCGATTCTGCTGCCCCAACCTCCTGAGTAGCTGGGGTAACAGGTGAGTGCCACCACGCCAGGCTAATTTTTTGTATTTTTGGTGGAGACAGGGTTTCACCATGTCAGCAAGGATGGTCTCGATCTTCTGACCTCATGATCCACCCACCTTGGCCTCCCAAAGTGCTGGGCCACTGAGCCCAGCCAAAAAAAAATTTTTTAAAGGCCAATGACAGTGGTTCATGCTTATAATCCCAGCACTTCGGGAGGCTGAGGTAGGTGGATCACTTGAGTCCAGGAGTTCGAGACCAGCCTGGGCAACATGACGAAACTCTGCTCTACAGAAAACACAAAAACTAGCCAGGCATGGTGGCGTATGCATGTAGTGCCAGCTATTTGGGAGGCTGAGGCAGGAGGATTGTTTGAGCCTGGAATGTGGAGGCTGCAGTGAGCCAAAATCACAAAGTTAAAGGAAATAAAACAAGATGCAGGAAAATAAGTGCCACATGGAAATAAGTGCACCACAAGTGCGGTGGCTCACGTCTATAATCACAGTACTTTGGGAGGCTGAGGCGGGCAGATCACGAGGTCAGGAGTTTGAGAATAGCCTGGCCAATATGGTGAAACCTCGTCTCTACTAAAAATACAAAAAATTAGCCCAGCATGGTGGCAGGTGCCTGTAATCCCAGCTACTCAGGAGGCTGAGGCAGGAGAATCACTTGGACTCGGGAGGCAGAGGTTGCAGTGAGCCAACATGACGCCATTGCACTCCAGCCTGGGCGACAGAGTGAGACTCTGTCTGGAAAAAATAAAAAAGAAGTGCACCATTGCAGTCCCTCTTGGGTGACAGAGTGAGACCTTGTTTCAAAAACAACAACAACAAAATTATCTGAAAAAAATATAGTGTTTTTATACTAATGATAAAATTTTAGCAATTTTGAAATTTTAGCAATTATGAAAAAACAGAAGTCAAAATGGACAATTCTGATTAAATTGACTATTAAAATGTTTAAAACTCCCATCTAAAAAATTTTTTTTAAGACAAAGTCTCACTCTGTCACCCAGGCTGGGGTGCAGTGGCCTAATCACAGCTCACTGCAGCCTTGATCTCCTGGGCTCAGGTGATCTTCTCACCTCAGCCTCTGAAGTAGCTGGGACTACAGGCACATGCCACCATATCTGGCTCATTTTTTCCATTTTTTTATAGAGACAGGGTTTTACCATGTTGCCCAGGCTAGTGAAAAGCATTTTAAACAGGGTTAAAATACAAGTGACAGAAAGGGGGATAAAAAGATTACTGCAACATGTATATCTTAAAAAGATGGGTCTCTAGTATCTGAAAAGGACTCTTACAAACCAATAAGAAGAAGATTAACAACCCAATAGAAAAATGGATTAGACTAGGATGACTAGATATTCCCCAAAGAAATTCAAATGATCTATAGTAGATAATAATATCTACTTCACTGCTCTAGTAATCTGGAAAATGCAAATTAAACTGACAGTGAGATTTGTTTCACATCTACAGGACTATCAATAATCTAAAATTCTGACCATTTTAAGTGTTGGTGAGGATGTGGAAAAACTAGGGCTCTGATATCCTGTAAAACTGATAGAGCCACTTTGGCGAGCAACTTGATATTGTCTACTCAAGTTGAAAATGCACTTATTCTTTGATCTAAAAAGTCTACTTTCAGATAAATGCCTTAAAGCACTGTTTTTCAATCCATTAGTGACTCATAAAAATCAATGTAAGGGCCAGGCGCGGTGGCTCAAGCCTGTAATCCCAGCACTTTGGGAGGCCGAGGCGGGTGGATCACGAGGTCAACAGATCGAGACCATCCTGGTCAACATGGTGAAACCCCGTCTCTACTAAAAAATACAAAAAATTAGCTGGGCACGGTGGCGCGTGCCTGTAATCCCAGCTACTCAGGAGGCTGAGGCAGGAGAATTGACTGAACCCAGGAGGCAGAGGTTGTGGTGAGCCGAGATCGCGCCATTGCACTCCAGCCTGGGTGACAAGAGCGAAATTCCATCACTCCATCTCAAACAAAACAAACAAACAACAACAACAGAAAATAAAATAAAATCAATGTAGTGAGTCATGTCCAGCATTTGATAAAAATGAAATAGGACAGAGTACAACAGAGTAGGAAATAGTGTGCATATAGCAAGGGGAGGTATTATTTTGTTAAACTTTTATTTAATGTATGAACTCGGCCTTAATAGAAAACATATTTCCAGCCAGGCGTGGTGGCTCACACCTGTAATCCAAGCCCTTTGGGAGGCCAAGGTGTGCAGATCACCTGAGGTCAGGAGTTCAAGACCAGCCTGGCCATCATGGTGAAACCCCATCTTTATTAAAAAAAAAAAAAAAAAAAGGGCCGGGCGCGGTGGCTCACGCCTGTAATCCCAGCACTTTGGGAGGCCAAGGCGGGTGGATCACGAGGTCAAGAGATTGAGACCATCCTGGTCAACATGGTGAAACCCTGTCTCTACTAAAAATACAAAAAATTAGCTGGGCATGGTGGCTCGTGCCTGCAATCCCAGCTACTCAGGAGGCTGAAGCAGGAGAACTGCCTGAACCCAGGAGGCGGAGGATGCAGTGAGCCGAGATCGTGCCATTGCACTACAGCCTGGGTAACAAGAGCGAAACTCCGTCTCAAAAAAAAAAAAAAAAAAAGGCCGGGTGTAGTGGCTCACACCTGTAACCCAAGCACTTTGGAGGCTAAGGCGGGTAGATTAACTGAGGTTGGGAGTTCAAGACCAGCCTGACCAACATGGTGAAACCCTGCCTTTCAAAATAAATAAATAAGAAATATTAAGTGGGTTTTTGGGAATTAAGTTTTATTTTGCTCAGAGATCTGAAAGAGTATCATAAGACTGTATTAACCATTGGTTATTAAAATACTTGGCCAGGGCCAGGCGAAGTGGCTCATGTCTGTAATACCTGAATTTTGGGAGGCCAAGACGGGTGGATCACCTGAGGTCAGAAGTTTGAAAGCAGCGTAGCCAACATAATGAAACACCATCTCTACTAAAAATACAAAAAATTAGTGGGGTGTGGTGGCGGTCGCCTGTAATCCCAGCTACTCAGGAGGCTGAAGCAGCAGAATTGCTTGAACCCAGAGGGCAGAGTTGCAGTGAACTGAGATCGCCCCACTGCACCCAGCCTCAGCAACAAGAGTGAAATTCTGTCTCAAACAAAACAAAACAACAAAAACCCTTGGCAGGGCCTGACGAAGTGGCTCACACCTGTAATCCCAGCACTTTGGGAGGCCGAGTGTGGATTACTTGAGGTCGGGAGTTCAAGATCGCCTATGCAACGTGGCAAAACCCTGTCTCTACTAAAACAAAAATTAGTCAGTCCTGAGTGGTGGTACACGACCTGTATGTAGCCTGTCGTCTTAGCTACTTGGGAGGCTGAGGCACCAGAATCACTTGAATTTGGTTGGCACAGGCTGCAGTGAGCTGATACTGGGACACTGCACTCTAGTCTGAGCAACAGAGTGAGAAGCTGTCTCAACAAATAATAAATTAGGCCGGGCGCGGTGGCTCACACCTGTAATCCTAGCACTTTGGGAGGCCGAGGCGGGTGGATCACGAGGTCAACAGATCGAGACCATCCTGGTCAACATGGTGAAACCCCGTCCCTACTAAAAATACAAAAAATTAGCTGGGCATGGTGGCATGTGCCTGTAATCCCAGCTACTCAGGAGGCTGAGGCAGGAGAATTGCTTGAACCCAGGAGGCGGAGGTTGCAGTGAGCCGAGATCGTGCCATTGCACTCCAGCCCAGGTAACAACAGCGAAACTTCATCTCAAATAAAAAAAAAAGAGAGGTGACAAGCTTAGATTTGCAATTTTAAAACCTCTCTGGCTACGTACAACATGGAGAACTGGTTGGAGGGAAGACAAAACACACGGCAGGGAAACCAGTAAGGGGGCTGCTGTAGAAGTCAGGACCAGAGACTTGCAGCTTAGCGTAGGATAGTGGCAGAGAAGACAGAAGGAAGCTGGCTGATTGAAGAACAGTTAGAAGGTAGAACCAACAAGACACGCACGTGTTTTGTGTGTGTGTGTGTGTAGGAGTGCAATGGAGAAAGAGGTGTGTGTGTGTGTGTGTGTGTGTGTGTGTGAAGGGGTACAATGGAGAAAGAGGCCTAAACACTAAATAAATATCTGAGGAAAGGGCTGAGTGCAGTGGCTCATGTCTATAATCCCAGCACTTTGGGAGATCAAGGCAGGTGGATTGCTTAAGTCCAGAGTTCAAAACCAGCCTGGCTAACAGGGCAAAACCCTATCTCTACTAAAATACAAAAATTAGCTGGGCATGGTGGTGTGTGTCTGTAATCCTAGCTACTCAGGAGGCTGAGGTGAGAGGATCACTTGAGGCCTGGAGGTAAAGGCTGCAGTGAGCCATGATGTCACTACTGTACTCTAGCCTGGGCAAGACCCTGTTTCAAAAAGAAAATAAATAAATAAATAAAAAAGTCTGAGGAATGACATGTGTTCCTGCCACATTCTTTTATTGCATGAAATGCCTTCCCCTCTACTCCATACTTCCGGACACAGTTCCTTCCTATTTTCTCCACAAAACTCTGATTTTTCTCTCCTTCTTTCCAAGAGAGTTCTGGAATTTTAGAACTGAACATTCTTGAGTAGTTGACATGACTCACAAACTACCTGAATATGGCCAGGCACAGTGGCTCACACCTGTGATCCCAGAACTTTGGGAGGTTGAGCTGGGTAGATAACCTGAGTTCAGGAGTTCAAGACCAGCCTGCCCAATGTGGTGAAAACCCGTCTCTACTAGAAATACAAAAATTAGCCGGGTGTGGTGGCAGGCACCTGTCATCCCAGCTACTTGGGTGGCTGAGGCAGGAGAATTACTTGAATCTGGGAGGTGGAGGTTGAAGTAAGCTGAGATTGAGCCACTGCACTCCAGTCTGGGCGACAGAGTGACACTCTGTCTCAAAACGAAACAAAATAAAACAAAACAAAACTACCTGAATATGGAGACCATGTCTTAGTCAACTTTCTTTTCTTTCTCCTTCTTTTTTTTTTTTTTTTTGAGATGGAATCTCACTCTGTTGCCTAGGTTGGAGTGCAGTGGTGCGATCTCGATTCACCACAACCTCCGCCTCCCAGGTTAAAGCGATTCTCCAGCCTCAGCCTCCCGATTAGATGATATTACAGGCACCTGCCACCATGCCCACCTAATTTTTGTATTTTTAGTAGAGACAAGGTTTCACCATGTTGTCCAGGCTGGTCTTGAACTCCTAACCTCAGGTGATCCACTCACTCATCCTCCCAAAGTGCTGGGATAAAAGTTGTGAGTGAAGCCGGGCGCGGTGGGTCACACCTATAATCCCAGCACTTTGGGAGGCTGAGGCGGGTGGATCACGAGGTCAACAGATCAAGAGCATCCTGGTCAACAAGGTGAAACCCTGTCTCTTCTAAAAACACAAAAATTAGCTGGTCGTGGTGGTGCGTGCCTGTAGTCCCAGCTACTCAGGAGGCTGAGGCAGGAGAATTGCTTGAACCCAGAAGGCAGAGGTTGCGGTGAGCCGAGATGGTGCCATTGCACTCCAGTCTGGGAAACAACAGCGAAACTCCATCTCAAAAAAAAAAAAAAAAAAGTTGTGAGTCGCCTCGGCCAGCCGTCTTAATCAACTTTTTATGCCATCCACCCCACCTACCCAACACTTGTGAAGATCCAGAACCATGTTTTAAAACTTTTCCTGACTGCATGAGTGGTACAGTCTTTAATAACCTGTGCTAATATAAAGCTCTGTGACCCATAAGGCATTATACAGATGTGGGAGCTTTCACAGCTGTTTTCTCTTTGGATCCTCACAGAATTCTTATAAAATAGGTACTATTATAAGGGAAATAAACTCAGAACTAAAGTAACATATCCAAGGTAACATTCACAAAAAGAAATGGCAGTGCGAAGATTGAACCTACATCCAGGGCACCCACCTGGGATGCTCTACCACCCTCCATGAAGATTGAATATTTATATATATCCAGGAGGACTGCTAACTCTTGGAGGCAGTTGAGTACCACTTCTGAGAATCCTTCTTAGTTTCGAGTATTTATTCAAAAATGTTTATGGAGCACCTACTATGTGCTAACTATGGCAGAGTTGGAGGTGCAGCAATGAAGAAGGCAGAGAAGATGCTTACCCTCATTCTAGTTCAGGGAGCCATCAAACAAGGACACAAATATATAAACACTATAAGTGACAGATGCTATAAACAAAATACAAGGCTGGGCGTGGTGGCTCACGCCTGTAATCCCAGCACTTTGAGAGGCTGAGGCAGATGGATCACAAAGTCAGGATATTAAGACAATCCTGGCCAAGATGGTGAAACCCCCTCTGTACTAAAATACAAAAAATTCACCGCGTGTGGTGGTACACACCTGTAGTCTCAGCTCCTGGGGAGGCTGAGGCAGGAGAATCGCTTGAACCTGGGAGGCAGAGGTTGCAGTGAATCGAGATCGCGCCACTGCACTCGAGTCTCGGCGACAGAGCGAGATCCTGTCCCAAAAAAGAAAAAAAAAGAGGAGTAACATTAGAATAAGTGTGAAGTGTGTCCTTTTTTGCTGGCATTACTTCAGATAGGGTGGTCAGAGAAATCCTCTCAGAAAAGTAACATTTGAGACAGAGCTTGGTCTTCGGTAGGCTCTTAACGAAAACCATTTTCCCACAAACTTAGTTCTGGAAACGACAAAGAAAGGAAAAAGTGTACTTAGTCTGCACAAGGGCCGCTCCCAGGCCTCCAACATTCGCTGCCAGACTGTGACTGGAAAGTGGACAGTTCCCGGCCTATCCACGCCGCCACCATTAGAGGACGCCGCGGGTCCTCCCAGTCCCCAGGAGGCGCCATGGCCCCCGGCACTGCCAAACTGACATCTGGTACCTAACAGTCGAGGCCCCGACGCCCCGCGTCCAGGAAGAGGGCAAGGGCGGAGCTGGGAAGCCATGAGGCCCTAGGGAATCGCGGAGGGTCACTGGGCCCCTCAAGGAGAGGGCGTCCTCGGCATCGCAAACCCACACCAGTGGCATAAGAACTTGCTCCCTCAGGGACAGCCTGTTTCCGGCGCCTTTAAACCAGGAAGTACTGCTGTGTCCAATCCTGGCCCTCCTTTCGCACTTAGTCTTTGAGTCCTTCCTCTCCTGGCTTGTGCTGGAGCCAAGGAGGCTAAGGCTACCAATCAGCGCTCAGAAAAGGCGCATGCGTCTTCGAACGAACACCGCAGACGGTTAACTTTGACCCAAAAGCAACCTCCCCTCTCCCCCTTCTCTCGCTGTCAAGATGGCGCTCTCCAGGGTGTGCTGGGCTCGGGCTGCTGTGTGGGGTTCAGCAGTCACCCCTGGACATTTTGTCACCTGGAGGCTGCAACTTGGTCGCTCTGGCCTGGCTTGGAGGGGCCCTCGGTGAGGGACCTGTAGCGAGAAAAGCATTTTTGACGTCCAGGCTCTCAGTGTCTGAACCTTGCTTGCATTCTCTCTTAATTCTCAAGAGTTCCACGCCTTGGCCCTGGAATTTTTCTTCTTCTGCTCAGGATTCAAACTGCGATCCCCAGCCATAGTGATGTGGCTTCCTGGCCCTCTCTACTCTCAGTGCCCCCATATTGTCTGGTCTCCCCGCGTCTCCTGAGCTCATCTTTCAGCCTCACTTTTTTCGGCTCAGGTTTTGCCGCTATCTCGATTCCACCTCTCTCTGACTTAGCCTGCAGTTCAAATTGTCCCACAGGCATTGCGCTCTCTCCAGAGTCATACCCTGAGTTCCTTTCCTGCCTGGCCTTTGCTTGATCTTTGTTTCTCAGTCTGATTGCCTATCTCTTCTTGACCCCAAGATCTTCCTTGGATTTCAGAAGTGTCAAGCCTTGGCATACATTCTCCGAGACTCCTGCTTTACGTTAGGGACTCAAGGCGTGAGGGAGCTTCTAGGACCGGTTCCCAGATAGTCTCTTTGATCTTCCTTGTAGGTCTTCAAAGCTTCACCTTTCTCCAAAGGCAGATGTGAAGAACTTGATGTCTTATGTGGTGACCAAGACAAAAGCGATTAATGGGAAATACCATCGTTTCTTGGGTCGTCATTTCCCCCGCTTCTATGTCCTGTACACCATCTTCACGAAAGGTAAAAACGGAACTATAAGAGAAATTCCTGAATCAGCTCTTGGGCAGGATCAGAGAGTTCGAATAAATAAGATCATTTGCAGGTTCTGCTATGGGGATGTGAGCCAAGATATCTTATATTTCATAAATGCTTGTGCCTTAAACTAATTCTTATAAATTAGCACTTCTTGAGAATGTTTCTAGAAAGATGTTACGAGAAACAACTTATGACAGCAGCACGATGGGGGAGGGAGAATATAGGTATGTTCTTGGACTTTTCTTAACCACACACCTGGCTATAGTAGAAATCTTTTTGTCCAGCGCAGGGCAGGGATCTATGGCTGTACAGACCTGCCCTGTGATTGATTTCCTGTGACCCATAGGAAAATGAGGTCTAACCCTTGTTACAAATCTATGTTAGGTAGCATGTTGTAGTGGAAATAGCACTGCATAATACTTGGTTTCTAGATGTTTGGTTTCAAATCAGAGATCCTTAGTTACTAGGAGATGATATGTGTAGTGCCAGGTGTCTACTCTGGAGCCAGAGTGCCTGAATCACATTTCAGCTCATCACTGTGTGATTGGACTAATTAACTAACCTCTCTGTTTTTTGTTTTTTTAATCTGTAAAATGGGAGTTATAGAACCTACCTATTTATCACATGGTTGTGAAGATAAAAAAAATCGATATATGTAAAGTACACAGAACAGGTCCTGATCCTTAGTAAGTGCCAAATAAATGTTAGTGATTGTTATCTAAATGATAGATAACAATATTGTAGGTTGGTACAGAAGTAATTGGGGCTTTTGTCTTTCAATGGCAAAAACCGAAATTGCTTTTGCACCAATCTATAATATGCTCTATGATTTTTTTTTTTTTTTTTAAAGATGGGGTTTTACCATGATGGCCAGGCTGGTCTTGAACTCCTGACCTCAGGTGATCCACCCACCTCGGCCTCCCAAAGTGCTAGGATTACAGGCGTGAGCCACCGCGCCTGGCCAATATGCTCTATGTTTTTATCATAACACTGTACTAAACTTCACTGTCAACTCTGAACATTATCTTATTACTAGCTTCATGGACTTGAAAAATTACTTATCCTTAATCTGTAAAGTGGAGATAAAATTGGCTGCTTTTTCTGTTCTCATGTAGATAAATAGGATCAAATGAGAGAAAGAGATGAAAGCATTTGTGTTTGTTTTTAAACTTTGTATTATGGAAATTTTTAAACATACGCAAAAGTAGAGAGAATAGTGTAACAAAGTTCCATGTATTCACCTCACTTCATTATCGTAACTCATGGCTGCCAATCTTCGTTTATATACTCGCCTTAGGTATTATTTTGAAGACAGTTGAGACATCATATAATGACATGGAAATCATTGATAAATATGAAAGCCTTAAAAATAGATGCAAGAATTTTCATAGAATGAAGATTTAAAATATAGAAATATATTCAATTAGATTACTTTATTTATTTATTTATTTATTTATTTTGAGACGGAGTTTTGCTCTTGTAACCCAGACTGGAGTGCAATTGCACGATCTCGGCTCACCGCAACCTCCGCCTTCTGGGTTCAAGCAATTCTCCTGCCTCACCCTCCCGAGTAGCTGGGATTACAGGCACACGCCACCATGCCCAGCTAATTTTTGTATTTTTAGTAGAGACGGGGTTTCACCATGTTGACCATGATGGTTTCAATCTCTTGACCTCGTGATCCACCCGCCTCGGCCTCCCAAAGTGCTGGGATTATAGGCATGAGCCACCGCGCCGGGCCTATTTATTATTTATTTATTTATTTATTTTGTGACGGAGTTTCACTCTTGTTACCCAGGCTGGAGTGCAATGGTGCGATCTCAGCTCACCGCAACCTCCACCTCCTGGGTTCAGGCAATTCACCTGCCTCAGCCTCCTGAGTAGCTGGGATTACAGGCACGTGCTACTGTGCCCAGCTAAGTTTTTGTATTTTTAGTAGAGACGGGGTTTCACCATGTTGACCAGGATGGTCTCGATCTTTTGACCTCGTGATCCACCCGCCTCGGCCTCCCAAAGTGCTGGGATTACAGGCGTGAGCCACCGCTCCCGGCCCTATTTATTTTTTAAAGACGGGGTTTCATCATGTTGGTCAGGCTGGTCTTGAATTCCTGATCTCAGGTGATCTGCCCACCGGGCCTCCAAAGTGCTTGGATTACAGGAGTGAGCCACCGCGCCCAGCCACAATTAGATTACTTTAAAAAGTGTTCCTGACTGAGCACAGTGGCTGACTCCTGTAATCCCAGCACTTTGGGAGACTGAGGTGGGTGGATCATGAGGTCAGGAATTTGAGATCAGCCTGGCCATCATGGTGAAACCCCATCTCTATTAATAATATGAAAATTAGCCAGTGTGATGGTGGGCACCTGTAGTCCCAGCTACTCAGGAGGCTGAGGCCAGAGAATTGCTTGAACCTGGGAGGCAGAGGTTGCAGTCAGCCAAGACAGCATCACGGCACTCCAGCCTGAGCGACAGAGCAAGACTCCATTTCAAAAAAAAAAAAAGTGTTCCAAGTTGGGCGCAGGGGCTCACGCCTGTAATTCTAGCACTTTGGGAGGCTGACGCGGGTGGATTGCTTGAGGTAAGGAGTTTGAGACCAGCCTGACCAGATGATGAAAGCTGCCTCTACTAAAAATAAAAAATTAGCCAGGCTTGGTGGCACATGCCTGTAATCCCAGCTTCTTAAGAGGCTGAGGCAAAATAGTTGCATAAACCTGGGAGGTGTAGGTTGCAGTGGGGCAAAATCACACCACTGCACTCCAGCCTGGGTGACAGTGAGACTTCATCTCAAAAAAAGGAAAAAAAAGTTCCAGAAAGGAGATAAACTAAAATCTGGCTGTGGAATACAAAGCGTTAATTTAGCAAGACTGAGGTTAGGGAGCTTGGTTTTTAAAAAGGACTGAGCAATGAAAGGCAGAGGGAGACCATTCTATAGCAGATTACAGAAGCCCAGCTTAGCCAGAAGAGAGGTGATGAGCTAGGGGAAAAAGATTTTGAAAAGAGATTTGGGTTAATCTCAAGAGTTTCAAGTAACCTAGTTTCTATTGTTGGGGAGGGGCAAGAGTGTTTGCATGTGATTGAACATGGAGTAGGAAGCTGTGGTTGAGATTCAAACTGGGATAACATTGCACTCTGTCCTCTACTTTAATGAGGCAGGATTTCGGATGTTATGGGCTGATGCCAAAAAGGCTAGAAGAATAAAGACAAATATGTGGAATCACAATATAGAGTTTCATCAACTTTCATACCGGGAGATGGAGCATTTGAGACAGGTATGGGCCAGGGGCAGATATCCAGAAGTTCATGGTGAGGTAATTACATTTAATCAAGATCTCAAGGTTTTTTTCTTTCCTTTGTTCATGATTGATTAAACTTTTGCCCTTTGCCATAGAACCAAATATTGAACTGAATGAGGCATCAGATTAATTGTAATAATTGGGTTCATTCAGAGTTGTAGCCTTCCATAGCAAGAGCTCCATAGAATTTCTGGTACACTTGATGAACAAAAGTTGTAACCACTAAAATCCAATTAGTTTCTGAATATATGAGTCTGCAAGAGTGGCTGGGCATGGTGGCTCACGCCTGTAATCCCAGCACTTTGGAAGGCTGAGGTGGGCGGATCACCTGAGGTCAGGAATTTGAGACCAGCCTGGCTGACATGTTGAAACCCCGTCTCTACTAAAAATACGAAAATTAGCTGAGCATGGTGGCAGGTGCCTGTAATCCCAGCTACTCGAGAGGATGAGGCAGGAGAATTGCTTGAACCCAGGAGGTGGAGGTTGCAGTGAGCAGAGATCATGCCATTGCACTCCAGCCTGGGCAACAAGAGCGAAACTGTGTCTCAAAAAAAAAAAAAGTCTGCAGTGATTCAAAGGGCATCACAAAAATAGTATTTGGTGGTAACTTGATGGGTAGTTTTGAAGCTAAGAGTAAGAATCTAGGACCCATTCTGCAGATCAGGAAGAGTTCACTGAAAGATTTGATATAATGTCAGGCTCTGTACTGGCCATTATTTGAGATACAAAAGTAACCAAATCAGAGGTTTTCTCCTTAAGGAACTAACCATTCAGAAGTAGTTAGAAATGATCTTGGGGACCATGTACAGTGGCTCATGATCCCAGCACTTTGAGAGGCCGAGGTGGGCAGATCACTTGAGGTCAGGAGATTGATACCAGCTTGTTCAACATGGCAGAACCCCATCTCTACTAAAAATACAAAAATTAGCCTGGTGCACACCTGTAATCCCAGCTACCTGGGTGGCTGAGGCAGGGGGATCACTTGAACCCAGGAGGCGGAGGTTGCAGTGAGCCAGGATCGCACCACGGCACTCCAGCCTAGTGACAGAACAAGACTCTGTCTCAAAAAATAAAAAAGAAAGAAATGTGGTCCTTGTTCTGGGCTGTAATGGAAATTGACTGTATAGTGGGGGGGAGGGATTGTCTATTGTATTAATAACTTACGTGGGTTAAAACTGCATCTGTGTTTATTTCTGCTTAGTTCCGCCAAGACGTCACCAAGTGTCTTTTCCTAGGTATTATTTCCATTCCACCTTTTGCCAACTACCTGGTCTTCTTACTAATGTGAGTACAGACTTCCGTCTCCCCAGCATCTTGAAGTTGTATCAATTTTTTTAAATTAAGAATTATTTTAAGCAGAACTTTTTATTTCAGAAGCTAGTCAGAGGTTATCAGACTTCTCCTCCAGTCTTCTCATTATCCCAAGGTGCATAAAACCCACTCAGGAAGACCTTGGTTACTGGGATACATCACAGCTAGAGGTACAGGTGGCCTAGACTCTCCCTATCTCTTAGCTGACCTGAGTGATGTGAAATAAGATAATGACCTTCTCCATCATCCATAGAGGCAGCAACTCACTCCCCGAGAGAGCAATTTTGGACTGATTTCTATAGAAAAAAAGTACACTTCATATTCTGATAACATGTTCTTATTACTTCATAACCAAAATGACATTTCTAAACTGTGATCTTGCATGTCATTAATTAGCTATTGCTGTATAATAAATAACCTCAAAGCTTACTAGCATAAAACAGTAGTATAAATCATTTTCATGATTTTGTAGGTCAAGAATTAGGGCAATGCTAAGGTGGGCGGTTGATTTCTCTCTTCCATGTAGTGTTAACAGAGGTTCCTTAGTGATATTTAGCTGCTGAATGGACTAGTCTGGAAGATCCAAAGTCACTCTTAGGTCTGGTGCCCTGGCAGGGATGGCTACATGGCTAGAACTGTGAACCAGAGTGCCCACATGTGCCTTCTTCAGTATGGCAGCCTCAGGATAGTGGGACTTCTTACATGGCAGCTCAGGGCTCCTAGAGTGAGGGTTCTAGTGCATAAGAATCTACATGACTCTATAACCTTGTCTTGGAGGCCACATAGACTCACTGCTGCTCTGTTCTGTTGACTGAATCAGTCACCTAGATTGAAAGAGGAAGGATGTAGACCTCATCCCTCCATAAGAGGAGTGCCAGAGAATTTGTGCTCATGTTTTAAAACCACCAAACACATAAATAAATGAAATAAAAAACAAATTGTGGCTGGACGTGGTGGCTCACGCCTGTAATCCCAGCACTTTGGGAGGCCAAGGCAAGTGGATCACAAGGTCAGGAGATCGGGACCAGCCTGGCTAACATGGTGAAACCTTATCTCTACCAAAAATACAAAAAATTAGCCAGGTGTGGTGGCACCCGCCTGTAATCCCAGCTACTCCGGAGGCTGAGGCAGTAGAATCACTTCAACCCAAGAGGCGGAGGTTGCAGTGAACTGAGATCACACCACTGCACTCCAGCCTGGGTGACAGAGCGAGACTCCGTCTCAAAAACAAATTGATTTCCTTTTATATACTGTGTGTACATAAGGACTGTGCTATAGTTAGATTGTCAGCATCACATATAGTGTCCAGGTCAGTCTGCAACTCTGTCCAAAGCATGTTCTTCATATGCTTTAGTTCAAAAGGAGTCATTATAGCTGATTGCTGCTGCCAAGCTATTCTACTCGTCCTTTCTTTCTCATCACGTTTCAGTAATGTTGCTTGAAATTGTGCTTCAGTGTGTCTTATAAACTTTCGTCTGAGAGTCACTTAAGAAAAAGGGCTGACTGTGGTGGCTTTCACTAGTAATCCCAGAACTTTGGGAGACCGAGGCAGGAAGATTGCTTAAGGCCAGAACTTTGAGACCACCCTGGGCAATATAGCCAGACCTCATCTCTGCAAAAAGAAATTAAAACCTACCTGGGTATGGTGGCCTGTGCCTGTAGTCCCAGCTACTCAGTAGGCTGTGGTGGGAGGATTGCTTGAGCCTAGGAGGTTGAAGCGGCAGTGAGCTGTCATCATGCCACTGCACTCCAGTCTGGGTGACACAGGGGACCCTGTCTCTTGAAAAAAAATTAAAAAGAGAAAGGAACACTGGGGTAGGAAATAGTGTCTTATCTCTTCTTCCTAGTATTCATGTCTACCGAATGCTTTATTTGGCTTCCTCTGAAAGAAGCCAGTTTCAGCAAGTGAGTGTGTGATTCTTTTTCCTTTCAGGTACCTGTTTCCCAGGCAACTACTGATCAGGCATTTCTGGACCCCAAAACAACAAACTGATTTCTTAGATATCTATCATGCTTTCCGGAAGCAGTCCCACCCAGAAATCATTAGTTATTTAGAAAAGGTCATCCCTCTCATTTCTGATGCAGGACTCCGGTGGCATCTGACAGATCTGTGCACCAAGGTATTCCTGCAGTTCACCCTTCCTACAAACGTGGAATCTTGTTAGATCAGTGTACACTAAAACTAGGTAAGAGGGGTAGTCAGAACTTTCCTAATAGCTACCGATCTCTTACCTCTTCCAAGATACAGCGTGGTACCCACCCAGCAATACGTGATATCTTGGCTCTGAGAGAGTGTTTCTCTAACCATCCTCTGGGCATGAACCAGCTCCAGCCTTTTCACGTGGTGAGCACTTTGAGGCCTTGTCTTTTCCATAGCCTCACTGTGTTTCAGATTTTGCTTGAGCTCATTCTATTTGCCTTTCCCCTCCTGTGTGGTTGTGTTACAGAAAGCCTTGAGCCGAGCCATGCTTCTCACACCTTACCTGCCTCCTCCCCTGTTAAGACATCGTTTGAAGACTCATACAACTGTGATTCACCAACTGGATCGGGCTTTGGCAAAGCTGGGGATTGGCCAGCTGACTGCTGAGGAAGTAAAATCGGTAAGAGCTTGACATCAACCCTCTACCCTTGATGTGCTTTTGAGCCTACAGCAGGCTGTAGATTTACAGGGGCTTCTTGTCTTGGTTGTTTTTTTTTTTTTTGAGTTTGAGTTTGAGATGGAGTTTCACTCTTGCCCTTGCCCTGGCTGGAGTGCAGTGGCACAATCTCAGCTCACTGCTACCTCCGCCTCCCTGGTTCAAGCAATTCTCCTGCTTTAGCCTCCCGAGTAGCTGGGACTACAGGCACATGCCACCATGCCCAGCTAATTTTTGTATTTTTAGTAGATATGGGCTTTCACCATATTGGCCAGGCTGGTCTCAAACTCCTGACCTCCTGATCTACCCACCTTGGCCTCCCAGAGTGTTGAGATTACAGGCATGAGGTGCTCTACCCGGCCTATCTTCCTTGCTATATAGAACCTAGCCTCCTTATTCTGTCACTTCATTTCTTTTATTTATTTATGATTTATTTATTTTGAGACAGGGTCTCATTCTGTGGCCCAGGCTGGAGAACAGTGGTGCATTCTGGGCTCACTGCAACCTCTGCCTTCCAGTTCAAGTGATCCTCCCACCTAAGCCTCCCAAGTACCTGGGATTACAAGTGTGTGCCACCGCGCCTAGCTAGTTTTTTATATTTTTAGTAGAGACAGTTTCACCATGTTTGCCAGGCTGGTCTCAAGCTCCTGGCCTCAAGTGATCCACCCACCTTGGCCTCCCAAAGTGCTGAGACTACAGGTGTGAGCTGCTGCACCCAGCCTATTTATTTTTCAGTAGAGATGGGGTTTCACTATATTGACCAAGCTGGTCTCAAACTCTTGGCCTTAAGTGACCCTCCCATCTCAGCCTCCCAAAGTGCTGGGATTACAGGTGTGAACCACTGCTCCTGGCCTTTTTAAAAACTATTTTTTAATTAGCCGGGAGTGGTGGCACATGCCTGTAATCCTAGCTACTTGGGAATCGCTTGAACGCAAGCTGTGGACTGCAGTGAGCCAAGATCGTGCTACTGTATTCCAACCTGAGTGACAGAGTGAGACTCTGTCTAAAAAAAAAAAAATTTAAATAATTAAATAAATAAAATTTATTTTTGTAGAGACAGTCTGCATGTTGCTGAGGCTGGTCTTGAACTCCTGGGCTCAAGCGATCCTCCCACCTTAGCCTTTCAAAGTGTTGGGATTGCAGGCAAGAGCCACTGCGCCCAGTTTGTTGTCTCATTTCTATGTCTTTTTTCCTTGATGAACTTAACTAGAGGGAAGGAATTGCCCACAGTAATTTTGTTTTGCATTTCTTTTCTTCAGGCACTTCAGAAAGCAAGGATACTACAGTTTAGACCTACTGTTTTAGATTAGATAGAACTCTTTGCTTGTCATCTTGTCCATCACTGGTTTTCAAATTGCCATGAGGAAAGGCTTCATGTGGGGATGAGATTGTAATTTATTTAAAGGAGATTTAGGATTGTTTGTGGATTTCCATTTCCTTGGCAACTCATTCAATGATTATTAAGGACCATTTCTCTTCTGAGTGATATAGGCTTGTTATCTCCGTGGCCTGAATTCTACCCATATTGGTGAAGACAGGTGTCGAACTTGGCTGGGAGAATGGCTGCAGATTTCCTGCAGCCTGAAAGGTAAAACACTTTTCTGTGGTTATCCCACTAAAATTCAAGTCACTTTTATATTTTATTCTGAGGTCATTTTGGAGTTAATTATTGAGTACTATGAGGCCCTTATCTATCTATCTATGTATATATGTCTAATTGAAAGGGCACAAACTCACATGCCTGTCATGCCTGGGCAGGTAATGAAGTAGGCTGTAGGACAAGAGTAGTGGGGACTGTGGGGACATAAGAGCGAGTGCATGCTACTGTGAATCAATTTTCCATCAATTTTCCTGTCCTGTGCTTTATAGGTACTTATAGCAGTTTCCCTAGCCTCTGCCCACTAGATGCCAATAGCACCCCTTCACCTGCAGCTGTCACAACCAGAATATCTCCAGACATTGCCGAATGTCCTAGGGGTGGGGAGGAGAGAGGCAAGATTGTCTCTGTTGAGAAGTATTGGTCTAAAGGCTTTCAAACTCAAAACAAAAACAGTCTGGTGACCAAAGAAAAAGTATCTGAGGGTATTAGGCTTGTTGGTTCCTGTTTAGGCTACATCTTGATGTTTTCTGGGTCTTTGGATGTTAGGGTAGGCCTACTAATCTTGAAGCTGAGAAGTGTCCCCAGAGCACCAACTTCTGCCGGAAGACTCCCAAGGCGCCCAGTGCTTAGTACCATTACCATCTCTGAACTTTCTACTGCGGTCACATGAGAAATAGAGGATGAGTCCATAGGAATATATAGTAGAAGGAAAGGAAGGCATGCTGACAGGGGCTGAAACAAAGAAGGGGAACTTCAAGAATAACAGCTTCTTAATACCACCCCTCCCTGCACTTGGCTTCCTGCCTCCAGGCTAAAGCCATATATAACAATGCAGTTATAAGGCAGAGTGTTCCCAAGCCAAATCACTAACACTGTGGTGTTTTCAGAAGCTGAGCTGTCTCTCTTGCTGCACAACGTGGTCCTGCTCTCCACCAACTACCTTGGGACAAGGCGCTGAGTGAACCATGGAGGGATGGCATTGTCCTGCAGTCACTCAGTGTAGCAGTGCAGGACCAAATGGCACTTGCTAGTGAAGTCTGTGTGCTCTGTTAAGTGTGTGGGAGGCAGAGAGGAGCAGGTGCCCTGGGCTTCACAGCATGGCACGTATGTGGGAACTGCAGACATTCCCCTCACAGTGAGAACTGAAACAGACCCTCTTGCCAAGCATGGCCCATGTGAGGCATCATCCCGTCCCCCTCATAATTACTAATAGCTGGAACTGGCAGCAGCCTCTGCTGGGCTTTTACTGTGATATGTTCAGTTCACATCCTAGGAAGTCAGCTTTTGCCCCAGGTGTGAATCCTTATTTGGCTTAGGACTGATCCACTTCCATGTTACTTCCGTCTGTGGGTTTTTGTTGTTGCTGTTAAAGAATCTGTGGCTGACCAGAATACTCCTTTGGCTGGAGCACTCGTATCCATGCTTGTACTTGTGTTTCCCTCCATCCTTTCTGATATGACCAAAAATCACGTTTTCTTTGTCCCCCTAATTAGCATGGGCTAATCACTTCCCTTCCTTTTCAAACCCTTTGAACACGTTGACTTCTTGTTTTTTTGAGACAGTCTCGTTCTATCGCCTAGGCTAAAATGCAATAGCATAATCTCAATTCACTGCAGCCTCTGCCTCCTGGGTTTTAAGCAATTCTCTTTGCCTCAGCCTCCTGAGTAGCTGGGATTACAGACACCACCACCACGCCTGGCCAATTTTTGTAATTTTAGTAGATATGGGTTTTCACCATGTTGGCCAGGGTGGTCTTGAACTCCTGACCTCAGGTGATCCACCCGCCTTGGCCTCCCAAAGTGCTGGGATTACAGGCATGAGCCACCGTGCCTGGCTGACTTTTTTTGATGAGTAACTTGTAGGAATATTCTATTGGAAAAGATAACAGGAAGTACAAGTGCTTCCTGACCCCTTCTCAATGTTTCCAGCCTTCACTCTCCATTGTCTTTTCTGGGCTTTATTACAGCCCCTGTGATCTTCAACAATTTGCTACCTCCACTCTGCAGCAATCCAACTGTAACTGACAGTGGCTGCCTTTTTTGGGCCATGAATCAAACCTGTAATGTACTAATTACTGCCCAGCCTGAGGAGATCAGGAGAGGTGTCCATCAAGTTAGTAAGTTAGGTTTAGCGTTTGTGTGTGCATCAGTGGCTTATAGTTCTGCAATAACTTATTGTAAATGCATTAAGCACTGTTTTTAAGCCCAAGTAAAGACTGCTTGAAACCTGTCAATGGAAATGACGTATGCATACTCTAATCACTTTGCTGAGTCTCCTTTTATAAGACTGACATAACCTAACAAATGGGAATTTAATTGGTTGGTATATAACCATCTGATGGAAATTTTGCAGGAACTGATTTGAAGTTGATCTTCTTGCTGGACACTTTAAGGTGATAACAAGGAAAAAACAATTTCCTAAAATTAATGGAATGAGAAAATTGGAGCCCAGAGTAGGGACAGGGCAAAGCTCCAACAGAGCAGGAGCAAGACCTGCTTCAGCTGAACAGGTACACAAGGGCAGATGAAGCGAGTCCAGCTCTTGGTGCTCCAAAGAGAATATTCTATTTTTCCATCACAAAATGTTTCTATTGTTAACATTAATTCCTAACTGACCTAATTAGTTTTATAACGAAGCTGGAGAAGCATCCTTTTTCTAACAAGTAACTGAATTGTGGCCTGCCAAGACAGAGTAACACACCATTCTTTTGAATAGTTCTTTAATATTACATTTAAATATTCTCTTTAAATACAGCATTATCACAATGTAAAGAACCTAAAGGGGAAAAAATTGTTTTCAGAGAACCAGACAAGCTTTGGATTCACATTGAAACTACTACCTGTGTACAGTATGTGAGAAAGGAAATTGGAAAATAATAAGTGTTGTATTGAGTCATTTCTTTCATCTAGGCCTAGACTGGGACTGAAGCTATCTGCTCTATGACCAGAGGCCTAGCTTTCCTAGCAACCATGAGCTAGAATTCTATCCAACTCAGGTAGCACCAGAAGTGAGATGGACTAGGTTGTAGAAGCCTTTTGCTTGACAAGACAGTTAATGCTAAATGTTAATATTTAGCACTCAAAAGTTTGGGATCAGTGTGAGTCACAATTGTAGAGTTAATGAAGGGATGGACTTAGATGAAGAAACTACAGGTTTTCAGAAACGTCAAATATCTTGGGGGTTGGCAATGAGCTTAATAATTATAGATTCATACTGCTGGTCTGATCCAAAAAGCTAATGTGTTCTTCCTTGTGCAGCTGGAATCTAAACTGGAGCCTTCCTGCAGAGGCAGTGTGCAGACCTTACCCTCCCTTTCCAACACCAACTTTGAAAAAGATTATTTTCTCCATAAAGCGAAATTCCCAATTAAGCTTTGTTTGAGGGTACCAGTCTAATGGGGAGTATAGCTCAGTTCTGGAGAATTTCTAGATCTAAGGTACTTAAGACTCTCAACTCTGTGTCATGAGGCTAGGGGATGGGGAGAGATAAGGACCTATGTACTTATGTCCCCTCCAAACATAAAACCAAGCACAAACTGGAATGAATAGGAAAGGCAGAATAAACTAAAAGATGTATGTGTATTAAATACAAATCCTTTCAGGCTCAAGAGTTTAATTTGGGGGTGAAATGCTGCTGTGACATACATGATGATTTCTGTAGGACACCAGGGCCTTAATAAATCCCACCAGAAAAGGCTTTATGAGCAAGTTAAGTAGTAGTAGTGTCTCCCCCCTGACTCCCCACAACACACTGTTTTTCACTTTTGTGGTAATAAACCATATCAGAAGTGAAGTATGGGGTAAAGGATGCTTGAGAGGAACAGTTTTGCTCCCTACTCCCTACGTTTTCGAGCAGAGACAAAGATCACTTTGCTAATAAAAGGAATCAGTGGTGTTCAGTGGGGGAGATCTTAGAACTTAGGATGAATAGGAACTGTATTCCCCTGATAGAGGTATGAACTGAATCAAACTGAGTAAGTTCCATTCTATACACTTCAAAGGTTATAAATAGAACTTGAAGCCTCTGGAATCTAGGAATTGCATGTGGCATTTAAGAACTGGTTTGGCTTCAAATTTTTACATATCATCAAGATGGAGGGGTTCAATAAACATCTGCAGTTCTTGGAATTGAACTGGAACAGTGTAAGAACTCTCTAACTGGGTATGTCGAAGAAGGACCATGAAGGTAGATATGGGAAAAAAGAACAAAAACTGGTTGGTGACTTTTAAGATTGCCACATCCTACATTCCATTAAAGCTCAGATCTCACAAAGAGGGAAGAACCTGGGTGAAAAAACAAGCACGGCACAAATAAGTCATCTTTCCAGGTAGCAAGCAGCCTGTTTCCACTGCCCGCTTTGGCCACAGTTAATGCTACACATAGGCCTCCTGTGGGATGGGTAAGCTCCAGCCTAAAGCTGCCTGACAGTACTAGTGTCAGACACATACAGAAGGCTCAGGCTCTTTGTACCACATCCCCAGCCAATCCAGCTTTTTTTCTCCAAAGGAAAAATGATGCAGGGAAAAAAAGACACACAGACAAGTTGAACTATAGTACATAAGAACGTGGAAGAAGCAATTCAAGTTACAGACCCGGAATCCCCAGTGTGGGGAACAGGTCAGAGAACACCAAACATGTCAAATATTAACTTATTCACCAAATAGGAGATTGAAGGACGCCAGGTTAAACTTTTGTAAATCCTGGAGATTTTGTACAGAAGCAGAGACCCTTCCACTCCCTTCTCCCTAGACTTAACCAGGTGACTTTCCAGTTGAAGTATTATTACACACCAAAATGGGGTATCAGAATAACCACTGAGAAAAACGAGCTTGTACTCTGCTGGGGCTTGGGAGAGAAGGGGCTTTGCCATGCTCTTCAAATCTCTTGTTCTGGTCCCTACAGAAAGGATAGCTGCTTGAGTTACCCAGCTTCTCCTGTGAGATCCTAGTTCTTTGTTCCAGCGGCCCAGAAAGCTCAGTGTTCAGCACTATGCAGCCTTCTCTGCCCCAAGACTATCCCCAGGTCAAGCTGGGGCTGGTCTCCTTGGTACTGTTTCCCTTTTAAAAAATACTCAAACAATCCTTTCCCACCTATTCCCCAAAGATCCCAATAATAACATGGGAGCAGCAGCTGCTTCCACAGTTTTGTTTTGAAATGGCGTTAGATAAAATAAGGGAATAAATAGAGAATGGGTAAGAGGCAGGACCTCCAGGACCTGTCACACTGCCAGAGGGAGTTCTAACGAAGACTCTTCAGGGGGCCGATCCTCATTCTGCTGAGAGGTCTTCACCACCCCACAGCCCTCTTCATTGTCTGTGCGGAAGGGGAGGTTTGAGGGAGACCAGGAAGGGCGGAAGTCTTCATTTTCAGGCTCCTCAGTGTTACAATCTTCGGGCAACAGCGCTTCTAGGGTGGGTGTTTTCCCCACCTCTGATTTACAGAGGGCAGCTGGGTCTGTGGAGCTACAAGCCACCAGTGAGGTAACAGGGAGAGAGAAGACATTCAGATCCTTCTCCTTTGGGAAAGAGGCTGAGCCTTCTTCTGTACCAGGCTCTCCTTTCACTCCCAAGACTGGCCTCTGCTCCACTTGATAATAGACCAGGGGCCCACTGTTCAAATAGGATGGGCTGTTCACCGTTGAGGCAGTTGGGTGGTCTGAGTTCTCGGTAAAACATAGGACAGAGGAGCCTGGGGGCAGCTGAGCCTGGATGAGAATGGGGGCTGTAAGGCCTGGGCACAGCTCTTCGGGGACAGCCAGGGGCTCCTCCAAGATGCACACACCCAGGCTCTCGATGCTTGAGTCCAGGCTGGCACTAGAGCCGCTGGAATCTTCTTCTGCCTTGAGCCGCTCCAGTTCCTCTGCACTCTGCAGGTGCATCACTGCTGTCTCATTCTCAGCAATGAACTCCTGGAAGTCCTGGGTCTCAGAGCCCTGTGCTCCAGTCAGGCTGCAACTGGCAGTGGGGGAGGGCTCCTCATCTGGGGCTGCTGCTGGGCGGCTCACCTGTCGCTTGCTCTCCAGCTCCAGCTTCATAATGGTGTGGAGGTAATGAGTCCGGACCCGGATTGGATTAAATTCAATGCGCCCAGCCATGTTCCCACAGCCATCCCGGGAGCAGCCACACGGAAAGGACATGCGATCCACCTGAGGGGGGACAAGGAGGTGGGGGGAAGATGAATCCAACAGTCCTAACAGTGGAGATAGGAGACATTAGTGGGCAAACAGGCAGCTGGGATTTGAGGTCTCCTTATAAGAAGAGAAGCAACCAATTCAAAGCATAACATGCAGTGTGAGCTAACAGAATACTATATGGTAGTTATCGGACCACTTGCATTTCAATTCCAGCTCAGCCATTAATTAGTGGTGTGACCTCAAGAGAATCATTGATCTCTCTAGGGCTTTGTTTCCTCTTCTAAATAAAAAGTAGATAAAAATCACATCACAGGGTCCTTCTAGTTAGTGTCCAGAGATACTTCTCTGAATGCTAACTGTTCTCACAGTCAGCATTTACATGAGAACATAATTTATGTACCTCAGAGATTTTCAGAACTTACCTGGTTCACTGAGACAACAAAAGGCTGGACCCAAGCCTACGGCCTTCTGCAATGACAGGCATGGGAGAGTGAGTGGAAGATCTTGCTACTTCAAAAAAATACACTCTGGAGAAACTAAGCAAATGTGCCTTAGTTTGCTAAGGTGCTAAAATGCAAGTTCAAACACTGGCCGGTTTTTTAACTACCTGCTTTATTTTTTTTGAGGGTTGACCAGTTTAGTTCTGAAGCAGTTGCCAAGATAATTAACTTACAGACCAGGGAAATCTGGAAAGGAGATGCTTTCTACCTCCTTATCACTTTCGTATTCCAAACAGGAAAAACACATAAATCAAACATAAAAGGAGAAATTAAAACCACAAGTAAGCAGATAAGCATGTACAAATTACAATGTCTTTTTTTTTTTTTTTTTAAAAGAAATCTCCACTCCAGTTATACCACTTTTTTCCCCTTTGGAGATCCAGGCGGAGTGCAGTGGTACCATCATGGCTCACTGCAGCATGAAGCAATCCTAGGCTCAAGTGACCTTCCCACCTCAGCCTCTTGAGTAGCTAGAACTACAGGCATGCTGCATCTAGCTAACTCTAAATTTTTTTGTAGAGACAGGGTCTTCCTATGTTGCCCAGGCTAGCATCAAATTCCTGGGCTCAAGCAATCCTTCCAGCCCAGCCTCCCAAAATTGCTGGTTACAGGTGTGAGCCACCATGCCAGGCCCAGTTGCATCAATTCTTAGGCCTCTTCTCAGGTGTGAATGTAACAGAATAACTCAGTATGGGACATTAGTCTGAAAAGCAGTGTTTGGCCAGATCTACTACAGCTATTTGTTACCAATCTAAAAACAAAGAAAGGATGGGTTAGGAGAAAACCAACCACAAGGACTCAGCATTACACCCTCAGTAATCAAGTTCCAGATAAATTTCATTCTTTGGGATGGTATTACACTATTTTCCGCTGAAAATTTCAGCTGAAATGTGTCTTTTTTTTTTTTTGAGACGGAGTTTTGCTGTTGTTACCCAGACTGGAGTGCAATGGCACGATCTTGGCTCACCGCAACCTCCGCCTCCTGGGTTCAAGCAATTCTCCTGCCTCAGCCTCCCGAGTAGCTGGGACTACAGGCGTGTACCACCGTGCCCAGCTAATTTTTGTATTTTTAGTAGAGACGGGGTTTCACCTTGTTGACCAGGATGGTCTCGATCTCTTGACCTAGTGATCCACCCGCCTTGGCCTCCCAAAGTGCTGGGATTATAGGCGTGAGCCACCAAGCCCGGCCTGAAATGTATCTTAAACTGTCCCCCATCAGAAGGCCAACAAGGGGACAGGCATGGTGGCTAACCCCTGTAATCCCAGCACTTCAGGAAGCCAAGGCAGGCAGATCACCTGAGGTCAAGAGTTCCAGACCATCCTGGCCAACACAATGAAATCTTGTCTTTACTAAAAATGCAAAAATTAGCCAGGCATGGTGGTGCACACCTGCAATCCCATCTACTTGGGAGGATAAGGTGGGAGAATTGCTCGAACTCGGGAGGCGGAGGTTGTAGTGAGCCGAGATCTCGGCACTTCACTCCAGCCTATGCAACAGAACAAGACCCCATCTCAAAAAAAAAAAAGTCGGGGGGCCAAGAAGGGATGATACTTTCTCTTTCAGGAAACTGTGGTTTTAAGCTCTGCTAGGCCAGGTGTGATACTGAATTATAAAGCTCTGGAAACCATTTTGATTCTTCAAAATTGGAGTAAAGGTACGAAGTGTTCACAGATGAATCTGTAGGCCTACCTCATTTCTCTGCTTCTTTTTTGAGATGGTGTCTTGCTCTGTTGCCCCGGCTGGAGTGTAGTGCCATGATCATAGCTCACTGCAACCTATGCCTCCAGGCTCAAGTGATCCTCCTCGCATCTCAGCCTCCTAAGTAGCTGGGACTACAGGCCACCACGTCCAACTAATTTTTGTATTTTTTGTAGAGATGGGGTTTAGCCACGTTGCCTGGACTGGTCTCGAACTCCTGGGAAGCAATGTGCCTGCCCACCTCGGCTTCCCAAAGTGCTGGGATTATAGGTGTGAGCCATAGCACCCAACCCTGCTTCCTTTTATCTCAAGGAATCAGTCAGTATTTAGGAAACAGTTACTAAATGTTAAATGTACTAACTCCTCTTCATCTCTTTGCTAACAGCTGCTTATTATCACCTCTGAGAAATGAAACAAAGATAAGAGATACCTCCACAGCCTAAGAATCCTGTCATGTTTGTTTTCTCTTCAAAAAAATTTTTGTTTTTAAGAGACAGGGTCTCTGTCACCCAGGCTGGAGTGCACTGTTGTAAACTCAGCTCACTGCAGCCTTAACCTCCTGGCCTCGAGATCCTCCTACCTCAGCCTCCCAAGTAGCCAGGATTAGAGGTGTGAGCCACCATCCCTGGCCATGTGCTCTTCGCTTACTCTGTTGATGGAGGAGGGTTGTGGAACTGGGAGTGTTCACAGCCACAGGAAATCCATCCCTGAATGGGCCTGCCATGTTCAGTGGCACCCACACCTCACCCTGCTGACCCAGGTGTAGATATACTATCTCAGGCCAACTTGGACTGACCTGGCATTTAATTCCAGCCTGGCTGCAGGCACACGCTTCTGGATCACAATATAGTCGGCAGTCACAACCACATTCTTCCCGAGACAGGCGGATGGCTCGAAGTTCTTGCTTCTCTTCAGCATCAATGCGGTGGACCCCAGAAGCCCTCAGCAGGGCCCGTCGCCGTTTGGTGGGCAAAGGCTGCAGGAAGAAGTAATCATCCACCTCCACATTTTCCACATCAATATCTTCATCTGATACATCATCCAGTGTCAGGCCATCGGCCTCCACCGACTCCACTGTCCCATTCTTGGTCAGCTGCCAAGAGACAGGAAAGGTTAGCCTCACAGGCATGAGTGGCATGCACCTCCTCACAGTAACCATCCCAGAGCCTTGAACTTTCTGCAATCATGGGAATATCTGCTCTCCAAAACAATGGCAGCTACTAGCACATGTGGCTACTGAGCACTAGAAATGCTGCAACTGGAAAACTGTCATTTTTTTTTTTTGAGAAAAGAGTCTGACAGTTGTCCAGGCGGAAGTACAGTGCTGCAATCTTGGCTCACTGTAACCTCCGCCTCCTGGGTTTAAGTGATTCTCCTGCCTCCCAAGTAGCTGGGATTACAGGCATGAGCAACCACACCTGGTTAATTTTTTCTATTTTTAGTAGAGATGGGGTTTCACTGTGTTGGCCGGGCTAGTCTTGAACTCCTGGCCTCAAGTGATCCACACACCTTGGCCTCCCAAAGTGCTGGGGTCCACTGTGCCAGCCCAATTTACATAATTTTAATTGAATGGCTAAATGTGACTTCCGGCTACTATATTTGCTAGCGCAGGTCAAAAGAATAAATCTAGAGTGAGAAGACAGGAAATCACATATAGCATCACCTTTCTGGGTCCAAGCTTCTCAAAAACCTGCCTCATCTTCCCTCCTACACAAAAATATATTTCCACAAACATATCCTCCATTTCCAGACATGTGTCCCCTAATTTATGCTCACTTGCCTTCTTATTTTTTTAAGATGGGGTTTCACCATGATGGCCAGGCTGGTCTTGAACTCCTGACCTCAGGTGATCCACCCACCTCGGCCTCCCAAAGTGCTAGGATCATAGGCATGAGCCACCGCGCCTGGCCTCACTTGCCTTCTAACACAGAGAGGAAAAGGTATATGAATGACTGGATGATCCTCGGATATACCGAAAAATGTGAAACACTCTTCAACTTGCACCCATTGAATGCAAAACTACCTTCTTGAAAAAAAACATACATTAAAGTATAGTAAAAGGCTACCAGATCTTAAACAATGAATTCGAATCCTCACAGTGTGAACAATTACCTGTGCATGCACTAAAGAGCTTCATTTTACTGTAAGGAGAAAAAGCAAATATATTAACAGGTATTAAAGAAAGCCCTTAGCCGAGAAAAAATGTATTCCTCTCCTTTCTAATCTTTTTATTTTTTTTTGAGACAGGGTCTCACTATGTTGCTCAGGATGGAGTACAGTGCATGATCTTGGCTCACTGCAACCTCCGGCTCCTGGGTTCAAGTGATTCTCCTGCCTCAGCCCCCTGAGTAGCTGGGATAACAGGTGCCTACCACCATACCCGGCTAATTTTTGTATTTTTAGTAGAGACAGGGTTTCACCATGTTGGCCAGGCTGGTCTCGAACTCCCGACCCCAAGTGACCTACCCGCCTTGGCCTCCCAAAGTCCTACAATTACAAGTATGACCCACTGCACCAGGCCTAATCCTTTTTTATTGGACTTCAAAGAAAAGCTGTATGTGAGGAAAGGTGGTATAAATAATACCGCACGTACTATCTGCAGGCAGAAATCTGGGTTTTCTGGGCTGGGATCGATGGAGAGCCAAGAAAGGGAGTCTCGGTGGAAGGGCAGATTGAAGACAAGCCGTGGCTGAAAGAGTTCTGAAAACTCACTAGAGAATTCAAGTAAAGAAAATGAGGCCTCATAATCTCTGGGGCTCTGGAAGCTGCTAGCAGGATGAAAGCCATGTGACTGGAGTCTTTGGTTGATTTCATCAGACAACCACAGAGTAGAGCTGGTAAAGGAACAACTCCTGGGAGAGATGTGATGCAATGGACTTGGGTAATCAGCTACACACCTGGTTTTTTTGTTTGTGGGGGAGGTGGTAGAGAAATGAAGAGCAGTAAAGTGGGGCTTCTGGAGGTTCCCTGGTCAGTTATTTTGGTACTCAGCAGGCCAACTACAAGGGCCTTTGTGTAGACCTCAGGATTGCTCCTCTCTAGTCTCCAGGGTTGATCTCCCCTTAAGTATCCCTCCTCCTACTGTCCTCTCGTAGGCAAGGGATTAAAGATGTAACAGAAGGAAACTCATGTAGATTCAAGAATTTAAATATCAGGATAGAAGTGGCATTTCAAATCAGTGAGCAAAGAGTCTTCTAGTCTTTAAATGGTATTAGAACAACTGGATATTTTCTGCGGGAAAAAAATTCTCAATTTACACTATTCATGATAATGAATTCCATATGGGTAACAGGCCAAAATACAAAAAATGAAATTAAAATATTAGAAAAATTATAGTTAAAGGCCAGGAGTGGTGGCTCATGCCTATAATCCCAGCACTTTGGGAGGCCGAGGCGGGTGGATCACGAGGCCAGGAGATCAAGACCATCCTGGCTAACACAGTGAAACCCTGACTCTACTAAAAAATACAAAAAATTAACCAGGCATGGTGGTGGGTGCCTGTAATCCCAGCTACTCAGGAGGCTGAGGCAGGAGAATCACTTGAATCCGGGAGGTCGAGGTTGCAGGAAGTCAAGATAGTGCCATCACACTCCAGCATGAGTGACAGAGCGAGACTCCATTTAAAAAAAAAAAAAATTATAGCTAACTAAAGTTGCAGAACACCAAGCAGCTGCTGAAACAACCCTAAAGGAAAACAAACATTAGATGGTACATGAGACATGAGAGATGCAGAATGTACATTTTTGAAACTTTACAGAGGGCTAAAAAAATAGGCCTGGTGCAGTGGTGCATGACTGTTATTCCAGCACCATTGAGAGACTAAGGTGGAATAATCACTTGAGGCCAGGAGTTCAAGACCAGTGTGGGCAACAGAACAAAGACCCTATCTCTACAAAAATGACAAAAATTGGCCAGACACAGTGGCTTACTCCTGTAATCCTAGCCCTTTTGGAGGCCGAGGCAGGTGGATCACTTGAGGTGAGGACTTTGAGACCACCTGGCCAACATGGCAAAACCTTGTCTCTACTAAAAATAAAAACTTAGCCAGAGTACATGCCTGTAATCTCAGCTGAGGAAGACTGAGGAACAAGAATCATCTGAACCTAGGAGGTGGAGGTTGCAGTTAACTGAGATCATGCCACTGCACTCCAGCCTGGGCAACAGAGTAAGACCTTGTCTCAAAAAAAAAAAAAAAAAACCCTACAAAATTAAGCGGGTGTGGTGGTGGTGCAGCTGTAAGTCACAGCTATTTGGGAGGCTGAGGCAGGAGGACTACTTGAGGCCAGAAGTTTGAAGTTATAATGAGCTATAATCAGGCCTCTGCACTCCAGCCTAGGTGACAGAGCGAGACCCTGTCTCAAGAAAAAAAAATTCTAAGGAAAGAATAAACTAGGTCAGGTAAAAAAGCCTGATGCAGTGGCCCACACCGGTTGTCCCAACTACTTGGGAGGCTTAAGTGGGAGGATCACTTGAGCCCAGGAGTTTGAGACTAGCCTGGACAATGAGACCCCATCTTTAAAAAAAACAAAATAATGTATTAGATGTTACCACTGCTGGTACTCACTAAACATCCTGCTAACAAGTAGAGATCCTGTGTCTGCCTTGGGTTTGCCTGGCTTTGTCCCTAGAATTCCTGTAAGTGGAGAACACAGAACAGGATGGTATACTGTTTTGACAGATCATTCCTCTGCCAAAGAGTTTTCTTCTAGGGAAGGAAGGAATGTCTTCATTGCAACTGATGAGAACAGTGTTTGTTTGCCCAGCTGTTGCTATAGCAGCTGGAAGGTTAGAGGGTCAGTGATGAAATTCCTCAGACAGAGGAAAGGGAAGCCTGAATGTCATTCTATAGTGAGAAAAACAGGTGCAGGGCTTTAGGAATAGTCTGAGGGAAATCAACACACAGCTCTCAGAGAAAGAAAGGAATGAGGTGCTCTGGTTAGCCTACATCCTCTGCCACCAGATCTCTAACTCTACCACATTCTAATGTGTCTCTCTCATGACTGTGCAAATAATGGAGCTGCCTGTTTTAATATGGGTCAGCATGCTTTGAGCTCCAAAGAAACCTGGCCAGGCTTAAACCAGTGTTCTTCAAATTTGGAATCAGGAACTCTGGGGGAAATGTTTGAGAACTAATAAAACTATGGCTGTAGGAATACCCAACACTGCTAAGATAAAAATGGGTGGCTCTGACGAGCCATTGAAGAGCTGGTGCTGTATCACGTGGCAGGTGCAGTATTATACAAGTCTACATAACTATTTGATAATGCTGTTTGCACCTACAAGATTATCACTTAAGGGTGACAGGGGTTATAGAAACAGCAGGATCTTTTCAGAAATATCCAAAACCTGTTCTATGCATCCAGACAAGGGACAATCATTTGACCAGAAACTGAAAATTGTGCTTCCTTGGGTTCCAGTGTGACAGACCTGAATGCATTCAGGTATTCACATTTTAAACTTAAAAAAACTATTTTTGGGGTTGGGCATGGTGGCTCATGCCTGTAAGCCCAGCACTTTGGGAGGCCGAGGAGGATGATCACTTGAGCCCAGGAGTTGAGACCAACCTGGGCAAGGTTGCAAGACTCCATTATTATTAAAAAAACATACTAGCCAGGTGTGGTATGGTCCCCAGGTTCTTGGGAGGCTGAAATGGCAGATGGCTTGAGGCCAGGAGTTCAAGGCTGCAGTGAGCTATGATTGCACCACTGCACTCCAGCCTGGGTGGCCCTTTCTCAAAAATAAATAAATAAATAATAATAATAAAATTGAGGGAGGCAGTGGTGATTTGGGAGGGGGAAATTCTAGGGAAGCCATTTTGCTATACCTCATAGACTCCCCTGCCAGATAAAAAGAATGGAGTCTTCGACTGAAATTTGATTCCAAATCTGAGATTTTTCATTACAAAGAGTTAGAATCTCTATGCCCCAAGGACAACAGTCAAATTAAAAAATAATAATAATAAGTTGGGTGCAGTGGCTCATGCCTGGAATCTCAGCACTTTGGGTGGCTGAGACAGGTGGATCACTTGAGACCAGGAGTTCAAGACCAGCCTGGCCAACATGGCAAAACCCCGTCTGTACTAAAAATACAAAAACTAGAAGGGTGCACACCTGTAATCCCATCTACTCAGGAGAAATCACTTGAACCTGGGAGACAGAGGTTGCATGAGCTGAGATCATACCAATGCACTCCAGCCTGGGCAAGAGAGTAAGACTCTGTCTCAAAAAAAAAAAAAAATACAACTCAATCAATCAATCAACCAGTGAACCTAAATGGTTTCCCACATGGGCAGCAGCACACCCCAGACCCCTTAGGCACCTTCATTTTCTTGGCATGGAGTTTCTCTTCCTTCAGGTGCTCACGCAGAATCTCTCGATGGTTTACCTCCTGTTCTTGGGCAAACTCACAGAGTGTGTAGCTCCGTACAGAGTTATGGCGCTGAGCCATGCCCAAAGAGCTACCACCCTGGCTGGGCACGCTGGTGAAACCCTGGCGCCGGGCAAAGTAGTATACAGTCACCTGGTCAAAGCGTACATTCTTCCTCCGCAGCTGCTTCTGCCGCTTCAGGATGGATGTGGCTGAGAAAGGAGCACAGAGAGATGTTTTTTATTATTATTATTATTTTTTTGAGACAGGAGTTTCGCTCTGTTGCCCAGGCTGGCGTGCAGTGGCACCATCTTGGCTTACTGCAGCCTCTGCCTCCCAAGTAGCTGGGATTACAGGTGTGTGCCACCACTCCCAGCTAATTTTTGTATTTTATTAGAGGCGGGGTTTCACAATTGGCCAGGCTAGTCTCAAACTCCCAACCTCAGGTGATCTGCCCGCTTCAGCCTCCCAAAGTGCTGGAATTACAGGCGTGAGCCACCGCACCTGCCCAAGAGATGTCTTATTAACTCAGGGATGACCTGTTTGGGGAGCTTGTTCTTTCTCATCCATCTAGGCTCTCAACTCTTCTCTAAATATGTTCCCTATGCCTAGAGAACTGTCTAATATCTTCAAATCCTAAATGCTCTGTTGGAAGGGACCTTGAACCTCAGCTGGTTCATACCACTGCCTCCAGACTGACTATACCTAAACAGATGACCACAAAATCCATTTTTAGACATCACCTGGGAAGAGGATCTCCAGGTAATCTTTTGTGGATGTGACAATCTATAGCTTTACTCTCCAGTACCGCAGCTACTAGCCACATGTGGCAATTTAAGCTAATTAAAATTAAATAAAATTTAAAATTTAGTTCCTCAATTATACTAACCACATTTCTTTATTTTCTTTTTTCCTCTGAGACAGGGTCTTACTCTGTCACCCAGGCTAGAGTCCAGTAGCATAATCACGGCTCACTGCAGCCTCAACCTCCTGGGCTCAAGTGATCCACCTGTCTCAGCCACCCCATCAAGTGATGCTCCCACCTTAGCCCCCAGAGTAGCTGGGACTATAGGTGTGTGCCACCACACCCAGCTAATTTCTGTATTTTTTGTAGAGACAGGGTTTCGCCATGTTGCCCAGGCTGGTCTTGAACTCCTGAGTTCAAGTGATCTACCGACCTCAACTTCCCAAAGTGCTGAGATTATAGGCGTGAGCCATTGCCCCCAGCCACTAACCACATTTCAAGTGCTGAATAGCCACATATGGCAACTGGCTACAGTTGGACAATGGAGATACAGAACACTTTTTTTTTTTTTTTGAGACAGAGTCTCGCTCTGTCACCCAGGCTGGAGTGCAATAGTGCGATCCTGACTCACTGCAACAGCTGCCTCCTGGGTTCAAGTGATTCTCTTGTCTCAGAGTAGCTGGAATTACAGGTGACCGCCACCACACCTGGCTTTTTTGTATTTTTAATAGAGATGGGGTTTCGCCATGTTGGCCAGGCTGGTTTTGAACTCCTGACCTCAGGTAAGCTGACTGCCTCGGCCTCCCAAAGTGCTGGGATTACAGGTGTTAGCCACTGCACCCAACCAGAACATTTCTATCATAACAGAAAATTCCACTGGATAGCACATACCTATAGCAGTGGACAACAAACTGTCAAGTGCCAGACAGTAACTATTTTAGGCTCTACAGGCCATGAGGTCTCTTTTGCAATGAATTCAACTCTGCCACTGTAGCATGAAAGCCATCAGAGACAATGGGTATGACTGTGTTCCAATAAAACATTATTTTATTTATTTATTTACTTTTGAGATGGAGTTTCGCTCTTGTTGCCCAGGCTGGAGTGCAATGACACGATCTTGGCTCACGGCAACCTCTTCCTACCAGGTTCAAGTGATTCTCCTGCCTCAGCCTCCCAAAGTCACTAGGATTATAAGCTTGCACCACCATACCCGGCTAATTTCGTATTTTTAGTAGAGAAGGGGTTTCACCATGTTGGTCAGGCTGGTCTCAAACTCTCAACTTCAGGTGATCCACCTGCCTCAGTCTCCCAAAGTGCTGGTTTACAGGCATGAGCCACTGAGCCCAGCCGTTCCAATAAAACTTTATTTACAAAACAGGTATTGGGCCAGATTTAGCCCATGGGCAACCCCTCATATATAGTATCAAAAGTTCTTTCCAAGAACTACTTGAGCTGTAAGAATTAAGAAATCTTGGCAGGGCATAGCGGCTCATGCCTGTGATCCCTGCACTTTGGGAGGCCGAGGCAGGTGGATCACCTGAGGTCAGGAGTTGGAGACCAACCTTGCCAACATGATGAAACCCTATATCTACTAAAAATACAAAAAATCAGCTGGGTATGGTGGCAGGTGCCTGTAATCCAAGCTACTCGAAAGGCCTGAGGCAGGAGAATCACTTGAACCCGGCAGGTGGAGGTTGCGGTGAGCTGAGATCGCATCACTGCATTTCAGCCTGGGCAATAAGAGCAAAACTCCGTCTCAGAGAAAAAAAAAAAAAAGAATTAAGAAATCTGGATTTGCCCCAGTTGTCCAAGCAGCAAGCATTTATATTCTGCTACAGCTACAATTTCCTGGAACTCTCTGGGACTCTAGTGGGGGCAGGGTAGAGTCCTGGACTCCTTCTTCAATCTAATTTAACCCATTCTGGGAACCAGCAAACCACAACACAAGTAAAATCAGCTAGAATAAATCAGACTTTAGTCTACAGTATTAGAGAAATGAGGTCCTCCAAAGAGCAAGGAAAGACGATGATTAAAGGCAAATCCCCAAGCTACATAGAAGCTGTCTCAAGCTGCCATGGGTTCTGATGCTTAGGGAATGTGGGTATAGGCAGGGAGGGAGCAGCTTACTCACGTGTGAAGCTGGCAGTGGTAGGAGGATTGAGGCTGTCGCAGCTGTCAGCACTGTCACTGCTAGAGATCTCATCATCTGAGTTGGAAATTGATGAGCCCACATCCACATCATCAAACTTCCTCTTGAGACCCGAGGCCGTGAACGCATCCATTGGTTTCAAAGGGGTTTCCTTGGGGAGCCCACCAAGTTGGCCCCAAATCCCCTGTTCACCACCAGCTAGCCAGGTACATTAGGATTCTGCCCAGGGGAAAAAAGAAATCAGCATTCCTGTCCACAGACAGACCCCTCCCAAGTCTTTACACACAGATCACTGAAGGAAGAAAGCACCTGACTTAGCGCTGATGTCTGATTTCTCAAGATTACATAATTTTTCTACTAACTCTAACCAACATTCTCCTACTTTTGTTTCCCTTCAGCCCCTCCAGTCTCAATCACTCTTAGAATAATGAGATGGGTAGTAGCAGCACCTTTCCCAGTGGAGGGAAGGCCTCTGCTTCCAATCCAGCTGGGGTCTAGGCTTCATTAACCCAGGAATCACAGTAGCTGCTCTTCTGATCACAGGAAAGCTCTCCAAGGGACCAGTGAGAGGAACTTGAGATCAAAAGCACAATTATCACTGCTGCTTGTTTGATTAGCAAAAAAAAAAAAGGAAAAAAAGAAAAGCAGAATTAGGCTTTGCCTAAACCAAGACTAGACCCAATTATTTATTTATTTTAGAGACAGGGTCTCACTATGTTGCCCAGGCTGGTCTTGAACACCTGGGCTCAAGCAATCCTCTTGCCTCAGCCTCCAGAGTAGTTGGGACTACAGGCATGCACCACTGCAACCAGCTAGACCCACTTATTTTTCCTAGTGATAATAAGGCGTGGCATTTCCCAAGGTGCATATCTTATGGATATTAATAGATTTTACATGGAAATAGGACTGCTGTGTAAAAAGGGTTTAGAAAATTGCCTATAGTGGAAACTCTTAGAGGCTTTACCTATACTAATAAGGATGGTGAAGCCTGAGAACACAGAATGCAGTGTTTCTACAAACCTGATTGTGGAACCCACTGTTTCCATGTTACTTTATGGTGCAAATAATGCTTAGAGTACTTTGTGGGAAATACTGCTCTATGCTCTCAATTTTGAAGGACATTAGCAATCAGGAAAACCCTTTACCCAGACCTTCAAGTGTAAAGTGTCTCACCAGGCTTCTATAAAGGTCAAATTTAGTACCAAGGAATGAACCCAAGATTAGAATCTTTCCCAGCCTCAAACTGCTCCATAAAATAGGGCTCATCTGGTCTGTTACCATCCTCTGTGCAAGGACATCATAGCTTTACAATCTTTGCTCTCTATAAAGAAATCAGCAAGGGGAAAACAAACAGCAAGAGAAGTAACCATTTATTCTGGTTATATCAATATGGCAAGCAGTGTTGTTTTCAACACATCTTCATACCAAGGAGTCTGAGATAGTCCATTTCCTAGGTACAGATCTTTTTATTTCGTCTTTGGATTTAAGTTCCAGAAGGACACAAAGCTGCTCAGCACAAATGCTGTCAGAGCTGGAGCCACGTGTGATGAGACAGGAACCCTCCCCTGCCTCAGTAATGCCAGAACCTCCCCAGACTATGATCTCACTAGTTGCTAATTATGCAGCAGGAATAACAACACTGCCCAGAGCGACAGGGCTGCATTACTGCAGAGCAGCTACCCAGAATATACTGTGGTGTCAAGAGATGCTTGCTACAGAGCTGTTTTTCTGGACTGTGTCTGTTGAAAGCAATTTGCCTGCTCTTGGATCAGCTCTACAAAGTCAACCAGACCTAATAAGTACCTTAGAGAAGATATTTCCTAATCTATCCCGATTGCATCAAATTCTGCATTCAAGTCACAAGATGTAACTAAGAAACCTCAGCCATCAGAAGTCTCAGACAAGCACATTCCTGAAATAAATTTGGCCACAAAAGAAAAAAAAAGAATAAAGTATTTGATAAAAATTGTAATTAAATTTTAAAATGAGCCCAAAGTATCAGTTCAGTTCTTCAGGTTACTGATCTTACCATCAGAGGTCTCATTCTTAGGGCATGGTAAGAAAGGAGGGAGTCAAGGGCTTTTTACGGGTTAAGATTTTAGCTGGGTTTAAAGCTACCTATCAGCAAACACGTTTCTCATTCCATTCTATTGTAGGGGGAGGAGGAACCCCTTGTGATCGAATACTTATGTGGGTGGGATTTTTTAGAGACAGAATAACGTTGCCCACTGAATTTAATTTTGCCTCCCCACTTATCAGCTACATGATAAATCAGCCTGAGCTAACAATCTGCTTTCTCAGAGGGTTTTAGGCCCTGGGTTTTAACTGAGCTTCAGTTAGTGCTGCTTCTAGAAAAGTGGGCTTTTGGCCAGGCACAATGGCTCACACCTATAATCCCAGCACTTTGGGAGGCTGAGGGAGATAGATTGCTTGAGTCCAGGAGCTAGAGACCAGCCTGGGCAGCCCTGCAAAACCCCATCTCTACAAAAAATACAAAAATTAGTGGGGTATGGTGGTGTGCGCCTGTAGTCCCTGCTACTTGGGAGGCTGAGGTGGGAGGATCGCTTGAGCCCAAGAGATTGAGGCTTGCAGTGAGCTGTGATTGTGCTACTGCCCGCTAGCCTGGGCAACAGGGCAAGACCTTATCAACAACAACAAAAAAGGAAGGAGCTAGCTAGCTTTTTCCTTGGCCTGGAAACACTCAAGGATGTATGACTAGAAATAAATGTACACTCCTGTTCTTTCCTCAGGTGTCCCTGGGCTTCTAGTAGTGTTTTCTTTGAATATTTCTCTTTACGCCCCATATGAACTTGGGTCTGCTCCAAAATCATCTTTATTACTAGAACTCTCCATGGTTGGCAGGGCATGGTGGCTCACACCTGTAATCCCAGCACTTTGGGAGGCTGAGGCGGGTGGATCACCTGAGGTCACGAGTTCAAGACCAGCCTGGTCAACATGGTGAAACCCCCATCTCTACTAAAAATAAAAAATTAGACAGGTGTGGTGGTGGGTGCCTGTAATCCCAGCTACTTGGAGGCTGAGGCAGGAGAATCACTTGAACCTTGGAGGCAGAGGTTGCAGTGAGCCAGGATCACACCACTGCACTCTAGCTTAGGCAACAGAGAGAGACTCATCTAAAAAAAAAAAAAAAAAAAATTCTCCATGGTCTTAACCCTCAGGAGTGTAAGTTCTCTTTAGGTTACTTTTTGTGAATTTGGATGCAGCAAGGATTGCTGGCTGCTTGTTCTGTTCTCCTCTTTTTTTCTACTTCTGGAATAGTGGTTTCTGGGCAATGATAGGAGAGGTAGGTAAGAATGAAGAAAAAAGATGTGACACCTAGGAGAAAAGTATTTTCCTTAAGCTGTCTGAAAACTGGAACCTATGGCTATTTGTGTAAATAACCTGTATAATGACTATGATCAAACTCTTCCATTCACGTGGATGGAACTCAGCAAAGTCCTCAAAGAGACTCCGTTGCTCTCTTCGCCCTACCCAGGCCCTGTTAGCAGCACTTCCTCTGACATTGGCTCCATTATTTTTTACTTTCTTTTCTTTTTTTTTTTCTGCTGCTCCTTCTATATCTTTTTCACTCTTTTTTCTTTCTTTTTTTTTTATGCTGCTGCTCCATTATTTTTTAAAAAAGAAAAAAGATCTATTATGTCTTGACAACCAACAGAAGATTACATTTCAACCCAACTCTCTGATGTGAACTTGACTTTTAGATAAAAGATGTTCACTGGGCACCAAGAACAAACCTCCTGTTCACTTCCATAGTGCCCCGAAGAAATCCTTCTTTGGGAGGCTGAGGCAGGAAGATTGCTTGTGTCCAGAACTGCAAAACCAACTTGGCCAACATAGAGAGACCCTGTCTCTGTATTTTAAAGAAATTGGCCAAGTGCAGTGGGCCACATGCCTGCAGGCCCAGCACTTTGGGAGGCCAAGGTGGGCAGATCACTTGAGGCCAGGAGTTCAAGACCAATCTGGCCAACATGGCAAACCCCACCCCCTGCCTACTAAAAATACAAAAATTAGCTGGGCATGGTGGTGTGTGCCTGTCATCCCAGCTACTCCGTAGGCTAAGGTGGGGGGATTGCTTGAACCCAGGAGGCAGAGGTTGCAATGAGCTGAGATCGAGCCACTCTACTCCAGCCTAGGTGACAGAGCCAGACCCTGTCTCAAAAATAACAAATAACGATAATTTTAAATAAATCTTTTTAAAAAGAAATCTTTCTTTGCAACAGTAACAATTAAAATAGTTTCCATACTTTCCAATTCATCAAATCAATCTTTCAAACTACAACTAGAAATCAGTCATTCCTACCTCTCTAACCTATTCATTGGTAGAGGATCAATATCTGTGTTTAAGAGAGAAACTTCTAAGTTTTATAGCCTGGGAATGCAGGTGAAAACTGACTGTTAACTGTCAAAATGACCAACTCAACAAATGCTTTTGGAGAAAACAACGCAACCCTCTATAAAAGCTTTTAAATCCCAGTGAAATTAAAGGTCAGCTGACACTTTCTGGCTACATGTCTTGTGGTCTTTTTTCAAGGGTTTCTGGCTGAACATTTCCCAATGGTATATGAAATAGTTAAGATCCAGAGCACAGAAGACATTAGGTTAGCACCGTATACACAGGCTACCAGCATATGTGTATTTTACTACTAGATCTAATTTTTTTTCCGGCCTATAAGGACTCCTATAATCACCAAAACAAACAAAATTTTTTAAAACCTAGAATATGTGAGACCAGCAAGAGGGACTGGCCCAAGCAATATTTTCTAGAAAAATGTATTTGCAAAGTTTAGGTAATACAAGTTTCTTTCTTAAATTAGTCCAAAATAATAAGCTACATCTCACAAGGAGAAAGCCTCTCCACTCAACTGGAATCCAACCTTTTGCTTGCTAAAGGTCAAGAAACCAAAATCTCTTGGTTTTGGGTTTTTTTGTTTTTTTTTTTTATGATCAGGGCTGCCATCTGTAGCTGGGTTGGAGGAAGGAAGGGTTGCTGCTGTGTTATGATAAACCTGAATAATAATGACCTGCCCTGTTTCCCCTTTTACAAGATACTGTGGTTGATTCTCAAATACTATAAATTTGATGGACCCATGTCTTTGTGATCACCAGGATCATGAACTTAGAGAGCACTCAAATGAAAACCCTCCATTTAAGCTAGGTATTTAAAGAAAGCCGTGCACCCACCACCCCCACTCCCCATTCACTAACACAAGGTTAGGATTTGGCTTTCCATGCCTAAACTACCATCGTGTGGAAGACAGGAGATCTTTGTGGGAACTGGAACATGATGCTGCATTAACTCTCAAGGATATGCAGTCATTTATCACACCGGCACAACCAACATCCTGGCTTTGGAGATTTACAAAACAGCCAGGAAAGAAAAAATTGGAACTATGGATTTACCCTGAACTGAAAACTGCAGGACAAGGGGACAGTGTTGTCTTTTGGGGATAACTTCTAGCATTTCATATTGAAGAACAGTTCGTGTGTCACACTGCCACTCTCAACCCCTTTAAAAGGATGAATCAAGACCGCAGCACTAAAAGGGACGGGTGGCAGTTGGCTGCATGTTTGGGCCTATGAAAAAAGATCAAGCTAGCAACCAGGGGAAGCGATGCTTTCCTTTTCCTACACGACGCCAGAAATATGGGAAACATCAGGAACCGGAGAGAAGGGACATGTCAAGTCACCAGTTCCCTTTAATGAACACGCCTGCGGAACCCTTCAGCTCTCGGCCCACTTTCCTCTGATTCCCGCTAACCTTTCCGCTCATTCCAATCCTCTGCAGCCCCTACCCAGCCTTCCTCATCCCTTCCTGCCTGCTACTCACAAATTCCCAACCACTCCTCCCACATTTTCCTCTGTTCCCCCTCCCCTTCCTTCACTTTCCTCCATCCTACATCATTCTCCACTCCATTCCGAACTCAATCCTCATCCGCAATCCTGCAGGCTTCCAAGCCGCCCATCGGTCTCCCTCGAGCTGCCCCCGCAGTCCGGGCCCGCGTCCTGGGTGCCCCTCGCTCCCACGCCTCTTCCCGACGCCGTTCCTTCCCAACGGCACCCGACCTCCCTGCCCCCCGACCGCTCCCGTCCGAGCCTCTCATTTCTGACCCCTCCATCCGCACGGCTCTGGGCTTGACCACTCCTCCACGGCCGCCCGAGGGCCGATCCCGAGAAAGGACGAGGCGGCACCCTCCGCCCCGCACCCCTAGGCCCATTACCGGCCCCGCCGCAGCTGCCTCCTCCGGTGATGGTCTCTGCCGCCCCCGCTGCCGCCGCCGCCCTACCCCGGGTGGGAAGAAGGGAGGAGCGAGCGAGTCCCGGGCCCCGCGGCGACGGCCCGGGATCTCCCTGGGCGGCAGGGCGCAGAGGGAAGGCGGTGGGCAGCCCGGCCGGCAGGCAGAGAGGGCCGGGCGGCTCCGGCAACTCTGGCGCCCCCAGCAGCAGACGCCCAGAACCGCCCGGGCTCCGGCTAACAATAGGCTCCGGCCGCAGCGCTCTGTCTCTTATAGGCGCCGGCACGTCCTGCCCTAGCCCCGGGGCGGGCTGGGAAATGGAGTCTTCGTGCCGGCCCCACGCCCAGCGGCATGTCGGGAGTTGTAGGCGGTGACTGCTGCAAAGCCTAAGCCGGCGGGCAAACCTGCTCCGGAGGCGGTGGCCCTGCTGCAACCTTTTAATGGGGGAAGAGAGGAGCTTCTCAACTACACATCTTAGATAACTAAACGAATTCTTCTCCAAAGCTCCTCCAATTTTCCTTTCGCCGGACCATATACTCCTTGCTCATGGGGTCTTAGTCTTCAGCAATATGACTTATTGCAGCCTACCCAAGTTATAAAGAACACAAGCAATATCTTGAGTTATATACTTGTATGAGGGACTGCTTTGAGTGTTTTCTTTAAAAAATTTTTTTGCCATGATCTTCTCAACTTTGCAAACTATTCTATTTATTTATTTAAATAGAAAAGGGGTTTTCACCAGGTTGCCCAGGCTGATCTTGCACTTCTGGGCTCAAGCTAGCCGCCTGCCTGGGCCTCCCAAAGTGCTAGGATTATACACATGACTCCCCGCGCCCATCCGCAACCCGAGACGGAGTCTCGCTCTTACGCCCAGGCTGTAGTGCAGTGGGGCGATCTTGGCTCACTGCAACCTCCGCCTCCCAGGTTCAAGCAATTCTGCCTCAGCCTCCCGAATAGCTGGGATTACTGGAGCCTGCCACCACGCCTGGCTAATTTTTGTATTTTTAGTAGAGACAGGGTTTCACACTGTTGGTCAGGCTGGTCTCGAACTCCTGACCTCATGACCCACTCGCCTCGGCCTCCCAATGTGCTGGGATTACAGGCGTGAACCACTACGCCCGGCCAGAATCCATTTTTAAGAAAGATCACTTCAATGATCTCCTGATCCAGGGCTGAGACCTCAGGAACTTACTTGTCTCTCTTTTCTCTCTCCTGCAGCTTGATGGAGATACCTCTCACTGGGCCTCTTTGAATCCGATTCATCAGATGTGTGACATAGGCTGCTCTCTTGTTGCGGAGCTTCTTGCTAGAGATAATGGCGACCTCGCACACGCGCTTGTTCGTGTGGAAGCCGTTGCCCATGCGCGTGTAGTACTTTTCTATGATGACCCGGGCCGTCTTCTTCAAGGTTTTGGTGCAAATGCGGCCCATGTTGGCGGGTCCTTGGTCTGCCTGGAACACTCTTCCACCAGCTAGCCACATATTTACTCCCTCACATGATAACTGCTCAAATGCCCTCATATCCGAGCTCTTCCCTAACCATAGTTTTCTTTTTTTTTGAGACAGGATCTTGCGATATTGCTCAGGCTGGAGTGCAGTGGCTGTTCACAGGTGCAATCCCACTACTGATCAGCACGGGAGTTTGACCTGTTCCTTTTCCGACCTGGGCCGGTTCACCCCTCCTTAGGCAACCTGGTGGACCCCCACTCCCAGGAGGTCACCATATTGATGCCGAACTTAGTGCAGACACCCGATCGGCATGGTGCACTACAGCCCAGAACTCCTGGACTCAAGCGATCCTCCCACCTCAGCCTCCCGAGTAGCTGGGACTACAGGCACGTGCCACTGCGCCCGGTAACCATACTTCTTTTTCCCTACATTAAGAGAGGATCAGCCTGATGCGGTGGCTCACGCCTGTAATCCCAGCACTTTAGGAGGGCAAGGCAGGCGGATCACGAGGTCAGGAGGTTGAGATCAGCCCTGACCAACATGTTGAAGCCCCTTCTCTACTAAAAATACAAAAATTACCAGGTGTGGTGTGCGTGCCTGTTGTCCCAGCTACTCAGGAGGCCAGGCAGGAGAATCGCTTGAAACCAGGAGGAGGAGGTTGTAGTAAGCCGAGATTGCACCACTGCACTCCAGCCTGGAGATAGTGACAGAGCAAGACTCTGCCTCAAAAGGAAGAGAGAGAGAAAGAGAGAGAGAGGATCTCACTCTGTCACCCGAGCTGGAGTGCAGTGGCACAATCATGGGTCATAGCAGCCTCAAACTCCCAGGCATAAATGCCTACCATATTTTTAAAATGGTGCTTCTCCTTAGTTTCTATCCCTGTGCCTTATATTTTTTTGTCTTGCCTTACTTGACTAAATTTGGTGAGAGCAAGGAATTTTTTGTTTACTGTATCCTCAGCACACAGTGCAAAGCCTGGTAGTTGACATTTAAGAGCATGATAGATATTTATTAGATAGATGGATGAACGGCAAGACTTAAACTCAAGTTAGGTTGATTCCAAAATCTGGTTTATTTTTCACTGCAACCAAGAAACTATGAAGCCAGATCTACTAGCTACCAAGCAATGTCGATTTTAGAATTGAGAGGTAGGATGGCTTGGGGAAAAAATATGCTAAGAATTTCAGTTCTGTCCGCTAGGTGACGTCAGAGACCCCAGGAAGCTAGGAAACTACTGCAAAATCAAAAAGCAGCAGATCAGAAAAAAAGCAATCTTTTGGTAACATGCACTTATCATCTCCCTGTTTGCTGAAATTTAGAGGCAATATAACAAGTGATCAAGAGCATGGATCCTGGAGCCAGACCGCCTGAATATAAACCCCAATCCCTTAACTTACTAGGGACATGACCCCGGGCAAGAGACATAAGTTTTCTGCCTTGGCTTCCTCATTTGCAAGATGGGGATAACAATATGTATTTCATAGGGTTTTGTGACGATTAAACAGCTGGTATATTGGAAAATGTTTACAACAGTCAGTGCCATGTAAATGTTAGCTATTTTTAATCATAAGCTTTCTATTCAGTTGTACCGAAGGTTTAGTTCATGATCCTATTCTTCCTGAACATATAAAAGACAAAAGGGAAAAGAAGGTTATCCTAGACCACTATAGAATCAGTGGGCTGAGTAACAAAAAACCAGCCTAATGGCCATGTTGAGGAGGCTAAAAAGATGTCTCATATGCCTACACATCCAGAGTTCCAATAGTCATGGAAATGCATCAGGGTACCTTCAGCCCCAGTGTCCAATGCATTAAACTTAATTGGCTAATGTCATCAAACTAGAAGATAGCCAAACCAAGGTCAGCACATCCTTTGAGAAGACAGCAGAATTCAATTTGGCAGTAAGCTCTTGATCAATTGGAAGATCATCTGGGCCAGTCATGGTGGCTCATACCTGTAATCCCAGCACTTTAGGAGGCTGAGGAGGAAAGATTGCTCAGGCCCAGGAGTTTGAAACCAGCCTGGGCAACATGGAGTGAGACCATGCTTCACAAGAAATTTTTAAAAAATTAGCCAGGTGCAGCAGCATGCACCTGTGACCCCAGTTACTTGGGAGGCTGATGTGGGAGAATCACTTGAGCCCAGGAGGTCATGGCTGCAGTGACAGCTGTGTTCAGGCCACTGCACTCCAGCCTCAGTGACAGAATGAGACCCTATCTCTCTCTCTTTAAAAAAAAAAAAAAATAGAGATGGGGGTTCTTCCTATGTTGTCCAGGCTAGTCTCAAACTCCTGGCCTTAAGTAATCTGCCAGTCTTGGCATCCTCAAGTGCTGGGATTACAAGCCTGAGCCACTGTACCCAGCAGAGACTCTGTCTCTAAAAATAAAAATAATAGGCTGGGTGTGTTGGCTCAGACCTGTAATCCCAGTACTTAGGGAGGCCAAGGTGGGTGGATCACTTGACGCCAGGAGTTCAAGACCAGGATGGCAACATGATGAAACCCCATCTCTACTAAAAATAGCCGGGCATAGTGGTGTGCACCTGCAATCCCAGCTACTTGGGAGGTTGAGGCATGAAAATTGTTTGAACCCAGAAGGTGGAGGTTGCAGTGAGCCAAGATCACACCACTGCACTCTAGCCTGGAAGACAGAGCAAGCCTGACACACACACACACACAAATGTCCTGGGCAGTGTTTTCTTTACTTTTTTTTTTTTTTTTGAGATGGAGTCTCACTCTGTTGCCCAGGCTGGAGTGCAGCGGTGTGATCTGATATCACTACAACCTCCGCCTCCCAAGTAGCTGGGACTACAGGCGCGTGCCACCATGCTGGACTAATTTTTTGTATTTTTAATAGAGACAAGTTTTTTTCAGTCTGTCTCCTGCCTCAGTCTCCCAAAGTGCTGGGATTACAGGTGTGAGCCACCACGCCCAGTTGCCTTATTGTTATTACTTTTTAATAGAGTCGGGGGTCTCATGTTGCCTAAGCTGGTCTTGGATTCCTGGGTTCAAACAATCCTCCTACCTTGGGCTCCCAAAGTGCTAGGATTACAGGCATGAGCCACCCCGCCCAGCCCTGGGAAGTGTTTTATACATTGTTCTTGCAGCTATGTCTGTGTGATGGTGATCTCACAGTCAGTAGTATCCTTAGATTACTGAGCTAATGAACAGGTGTATAGTATTCAGTATAAACTGTTTTACACTCAAAATCCCTTTAAAACTCTCTAATAACCCTATGAATTAAGTACTACTTCTTTTTTAATACTTAATTCATAGGGTTAAGATGATACAATTGAGGCTTGAAAGATTACGCTATCCAAAGTCATATCCACAAAGAGAAGGAGCTGGGATTTGAATATAGGCCTATCTGACACCAAAATATAGGCTGTATCGACTACCTTTTACCATCAAAAGATAAACAAGAACACATTACCCAGAAAGGTGAAAATAAATAGGACAGAAGATATAATGTGTTGAAATTCTTAGAGAAAAAGTGTTAAACTAAAAATCTAAGGCATTGTATTTGTTTTTCTGAAAAGGAATCTGTAGGCTTAGCTCTGAAGTTGT